AGGAATACTGGAGTGGGTTGCTATGCCCTCCTGCAGGGGATCTTCCTGACCCAGGGATCGAACTCAAGTCTGCTGCCTTGCAGGCAGATTCTTTACCGCAGAGCCACCGGAGAAGTCCTGTCCCCATCACTACCTTTATCTATTTCCAGAAACTATTCATCACCCTCAAAAGAAACCCTGTACCCACTAAGCAATCCCTCCCCACTCCTGCTCCCCTAGCCCCCGGCTATTACTAGCACATCTCCCATCTCTATGGATTTGCCTATTGTAGACATTTTATATAAATTGAATCATATAGCATGATTCTGACTTCTTTCACTCAGCGTAATGTTTACAAGCTTCATCCACATTGTAGCTTATGTCAATACTTCATCCCTTTTTATGGTGGAATAATATTCCACTACCTAGATATACCATACCCAGTTCATCCACTCTTCAGTTGACACTGACCTTTTCCCTTTGAATAATTTGGTCTCTGCTATGGCTGTATCAGCAAATATGCTGGACCATCAGCCTGGCTGACCTGGCTGACCTTAAGGAAACATAAAGGAACTAGAATTAAAAAGAATGGTTCGGAGAAAGATCTGAGCTTTCCAAGAATTTTAAGATCAATAGGAAATAAGAGCATTGCCATTTCTTATCTCCCACTGTGTACCAGGCACTTTGCCAGGTTCTTGAACATTTTTCATCTTATTTAATTTATGAGCTGGCTGTTTAGTGGGTCAAAACCTCAGCCTGCAAATTCAAGTACCCAAAAAATCCAGCTCTGAATATTTCTGTAACAGTGATCTGTGTTTTTCTCTGCCTCCTTTCCCCGGGCTGGTGACAAAATCACCTTCAGGGATGGGCTCCAGGGACCACAGAGTTTGCCCCTTGGGTGTCCTTGGAGGCCCCCTTCCAACCTCTGGAACTGCCCAAGAGCAGCCTGTCTGGGTTAGCACACCAATCTAAAGAAAGTTGAATTCCCATCTACATGACTGGAACAGGCTACTTCATCTTCCGGTGCCTCTACTTCCTTGTCAATAAAATGGGCATATTCATAGGACCTACTTGTAGGGTCGTGGTCAGGACTGAAAGAGCTAACACTATACTCAGAACATAGTAGATGCTCAATAAATACTGGCTGCCTTAGCACGATCACTCTCTGTCCTGCGTGGGGATTTTCCTGCTGCCTCGTCTGGTGCCTCTGGCTTATCGTGCTGCGTCCAAGGCTCTTGGGAGGGGGATATGACACTTCCTGGAAAGAAAGTACTCAAGACTCTGTTCATTATTTTATTATGGAAAATATCAAATGCACAAAAACAGAGAGAATGAAGTTGTGAATGTCCAGTGTGCTCATGACCCAGCTCCCACAGTTGTCAACACTTTGCCATTCTTAGTCATCCTTGGTCCTCCCTCCTTTCTCTCTCTATCTTTTTTATTTCTAGAATTTTTTAAAAGTTCTTTAAGCAAGCCCAAAACATCCTATTTCACCTGCTATGTGAAACCTCTATCAGAAACCGTCTTCTACCACTTTTTGAAAACATACATACAATATCATATCACCCTAAATAGAATAAGCAATGGTTCCTTACTATTGTTGAATATCCAGTCCATTTTAAAATCTCCCAGATGTCTTCAAAATATCTTTTTTTCCAGATGACTATTCCAATCAGGATCCAGCCTTGGTCTCCGTATTATCTTTGGTATATCTACTTCTTAAATCTCTCTTTCTCTCCTTTTAAATTTTTTATTACAGTATAGTGGCTTCCTAGTTGGCCCAGTGGAAGAATCCACGTGCCAAAGCAGGAGACACAAGAGATGTGGGTTCGATCGCTGGGTCTGGAAGATCTCCAGAAGGAGAAAAGGGCAACTCATTCCAGTATTCTTTTTTTTTTTTTTTTAATGTGATTAGCAGGTCTTTTATTGGTAGTAAACTAGAGCAGACAATCAGAATAGTACATATGTAGTATTCAGTACACACAATAAACATTAAAGGAATTCAAAACCTGTATAAAACAAAACACTGGAGGAAAAAAAATTGTACAGCTTAAGAGAGACAGTGAAAAAATCCTCTCCATCCTTTGATGGCAGCTTGTTCTCTGTACCCCACAGACCAAAATAATACAGACTTTTTAGTACTGATTGTATTTGAGAGGATTAAACACATTTTCTAAGAATCTTGCAATGACAAATAAGTGACCCTTTCTCTGGTAAAGCAGACCTTTAAGGGAGGAAAGTGGGGATGATGAAATTGACTAGTATTTTGTAACCATTTAAAATAATTTCTCATTTTCCAAACACTGCTTTCACAACAGAAGTGTTTTACCCTTGCACAATATTAATTACTTTGCTACATATGGAAGCCTGTGGTAGGCTGATTACACAATAAGGCTGCAAACAACCAGTGGTACTTTTCTGATGTCAGAAGAGTACATAAGACTGAAACATCACTAAAAGTACATAAAAAACTCATCAACATAAACATCGAAGTACGTTAAAAATATAATCAGGAAAAAAATACAATTGCTAAAAAGTGGTTTAGGGCAGAGCCACTGTCTACCAGTGGCTTCAAATGGCAGTTAGTGTTCATAGCAAGTCTGGATGACTTTACAGGACCCTTCTACAATACTGACTCAGGCACCCTTTTAACAGGTACATTACACAGGCTGCGATTTCACAAGAGGTTCTGATGTCCTTACTAAATGAGACACTCTTAACCTTCACACTGGCTTTGTCACCAGTTGGAATTACCACCTTACCACTCCAGTATTCTTGCCTGGAGAACTCCAGGGACAGAGGAACCTGGCGGGCTACAGTCTATGGGGCTGCAAAGGAGTCTGACATGACTCAGCGACCAAATAACAATAAATAGTTGATTTACAATGCTGTGTTACTTTATGCTGTATAGCAAAGCATATCAGTTATATATACAGTAGGTCTTTATTAGTTATCTATAAATCTCTTTTAATCCACGACACTTGCCGTTCCATTTTTTCTCCCTCTTCCTATTTTAAAAATGCCATTTATTTGTGAGAGAAACAACACCATTTGTCCTGGAGAGTTTCCTGAGCTCTGATGGGGCTGGTTTTGTTCCTGTGGTGTTATTTATCATATTCCTCTCTTACCTGCTTTTCCTGTAAACTGGTAGTTTTAGATCTAGGACCTTGACTAGATTCACATTCTTTGTTTTTTTGGCAAAAACTGCTCCATGGATGGTGGTGGTTTAGTTGCTAAGTCATGTCTGACTCCTGTGACACCATGGGCTGTAGCCCACCAGGCTCTTCTGTCCATGGGGATTCTCCAGGCAAGAATACTGGAGTGGGTTGCCATTTCCTTCTTCAGGGGATCTTCCCGATCCAGGAATGAAACCCAGGTCTACCGTATTGCAGGCAGATTCTTTACTGAATGAACTATGAGGGAAGCCCTGGTGCTGTATCATTGTTTTACTGCATCACATCAGAACAGATGTCTACTTGTCCGTCTTCTCCGAGTGCTGAGGTTGACGGGAGGGTTTGCGGTGCCAGCTCAACCTATTTATTATAAGGTTCCTATCTTTTTTACATGATGGTTTTATTAGATGTTGTTCATCTTCCAGATCCATATTTCCTTAAGTTTATCATTCCTTCTGCAGGAATTATTTTTAGATTCTTCTCTAAAGAAGGACCTCCCACATTGACTCATTATTTCTCTGAAATAATACTCTGTACAGAAATGGCAGGATAAGTGCTTGATTATTTCCCTTTTCAGAATAAAAATGTCACCAATGACTTACTTGCTTTTATTATCATTATGAACTCATAGATCTTTATTATTAATATATATTTTATTCCATCAGTTATTATTATTATTAAATACTCAAATTGTCCCATCTTCTGGCTAGTGTCCCTCACAGCTCAGTTGGTAGAGAATCCACCTGCAATGCAGGAGACCCCAGTTGGATTCCTGGGTCGGGAAGATCTGCTGGAGAAGGGATAGGCTACCCACTCCAGTATTCTTGGGCCTCTCTTGTGGCTCAGCTGGTAAAGAATCTGCCTGCANAATATTCAGGACTGATTTCCTTTAGGCTTGACTGGTTTGATCTCCTTGCTGTCCAAGGACTCTCAAGAGTCTTCTCCAGCACCATAGTTTGAAAGCATCAATTCTTTGGCGTTCAGCCTTCTCTATGGTCCAAGTCTTAACTATACTTAAAAAAATCCTGCATTGCTTGATATGTTTGCATGACAGTGTCAACATGCAAACGACCTCCAGCTGGGAATGAAAACTGGGGGCTCGTCCCTCTTGCGTAACAATGCAGGGTCATAAAGCAAACAAACGACCGCAGCAGATTGCCTTTATTTAAAACTCCAATTTTTTTCCACTGTGGAATTTTTTTGGAGAGGCATTAATTTTGATTCTTTAAAATATTGCCTTAAGATATCATGTATCTTCACTGCTGTACGCCTGAAATTAACACATGGAAAATCAACTATACTCCAGTAAAAATTAAAAAAAAAAAATTTAAGTAAGAGTTTAAGACTTGGGCTATCAATTTTGGAATTACATGCATGTGATTATTAGTTCATTCTCCTCGAAGTATTTTTAAAATTATTTATTTTTGGTAGCGCTGGGTCTTCACTGCTGCCTATGGGTTTTCTCTAATTGGGGTGAGCGGGGGCTTCTCATTGAGATGGCTTCTCTTACTGCAGAGTGGGGGCTCTAGAGCACTCAGGCTTCAGTAGTTGTGGCTCTCAGGCTTAATTGCTCCGTGGCTGGTGAGATCTTCCTGGACCAGGGATGGAACCCATGTCCTCTGCATTGGCAGGCAGATTCTTAACCACGGGACCACCCGGGAAGTCCAGTTTTCAACATTTGAATCAGGGGTGTGACACCCCAGCTGGCTGTCAGTCCTCATCATCCCTGTTTCCCCAGGAGAAACCTGAGGTTTAAAGAAATGGCTTGATGGGCTTTGAGTGGCTCTGACGGGCAAGCTCCTTGCTACCTGCCACTCACACTCTCCCCACCTCTCTGATTCCACCCAGGATGCCACGGTTCTCAGCACCCCTGATTACTCTGATTATGACAATTGGACCTCGAACCCCAACACCATGGTGGATGCCTCTTCCCACACCCACAGGCTTAATGCCCCAGATGTGATCGCCCTGGTGATCTTCGCGGCCGTCTTCCTGATCGGGGTGCCCGGCAATGCCATGGTGATTTGGGTGACAGGGTCTGAGATCAAGCGGACTGTCAATGCCATCTGGTTTCTCAACCTAGCGGTGGCCGACTTCCTCTCCTGCCTGGCGCTGCCCATCTTGTTTACATCCATCATCCAGCACAACCACTGGTCCTTCAGTGACGCCGCCTGTCGAATCCTGCCCTCTCTCATCCTTCTCAACATGTACGCCAGCATCTTACTCCTGGCCACCATCAGCGCCGACCGCTTCCTGCTGGTGTTCAATCCCGTCTGGTGCCAGAACTACCGCGGGGCCCACCTGGCCTGGGTGGCCTGCGCCGTGGCCTGGAGCTTGGCTCTGCTGCTGACCATACCTTCTTTTGTGTTCCGTCAGGTCCACGTAGAGCACTTCCCGCCCAAGACGACATGTGTTGTTGAATACGGTAGGGACAATGTGTACGCGGAGAAGGCCGTGGCCGTCGTCCGGCTGGCCGTGGGCTTCCTGGGGCCGCTGGTCACGCTTGCCATCTGTTACACCTTCCTCCTGATTCGGGCGTGGAGCCGCACTGCCACGCGCTCCGCCAAGACGCTCAAGGTGGTGGTGGCCGTGGTGACCAGCTTCTTTGTCTTCTGGCTGCCCTACCAGGTGACGGGGATGATGCTGGCCTTTTTCCAGGCACACTGGGACAGCTTCAAACTCGTGTCCAGTCTAGATGCCCTGTGCGTCTCCCTAGCTTATATCAACTGCTGCATTAACCCCATCATTTATGTGTTCGCCGCCCAGGGCTTTCACGCCCGGTTCCTGAAGACCCTCCCCGCCAGGATCCGGGGCGTGTTGACTGAAGAGTCCGTGCGCCGGGAGAGCAAGTCCCAGACGCTCTCCACGGTGGATACCCCGGCCCTGAAGAGCCAGGCGGTGTAAGGGGGGGCCTCTCTGACCGCCAGCTTTCCAAGCCTCCGCCAAACTTCTGGTCCATTCACTTTGCTTTTTGGAACTCAGCCCGGGACAAGGTGGGTGGTGTTGGTTGAATGAATTTGCCACCTTTTCCTTCCATCTTTCCTGGACTCATCCTGCTTCTTCTCGGCGAACCCATCTTATCGTTCTTCATTTTCCAAGGTTGATAAGTTCTTCTAGGAACCCCCCCCCCNTATCCAAGGAGTTGGGAAAACAAACAGCAACCAACATACCTGGAACCGTCCCACAGAATAAGAAGCTCCTGTGCAGAGCATGTGAAGATATCAGATACACAGAACAAACAGAAACACTCAAACTTGGAGAAAAAAAAAAAGAATTCTGTATTTATTTTATGGAGAATTGACCAAAAAAATTATATGTATAAAACTGGAATCTCAAAAGTTATTCTTGTTTAGGACAAAGCAAAAATCCATGGACTGGGCTTCACTGGTGGCTCAGTGGTAAAGAATCCGCCTGCCAATGCAGGGGACAGGAGTTCGATTCCTGGTTGGGGGGGGGAAGATCCCACAAGCCTTGGGACATCTAAGCCCACGCACCACAATTATTGAGCCAGAGAGCCTAGAGCCCGTGCTCCACAACAAGAGAAGCCTGTGCTCCACAACTAGAGAGAAGCCCCTGCTCACAGCACCTGGAGAAAGTCCGCTCGGCAAGGAAGACCCAGCACAGCCATAAATAACAAAATAAAGAAATAAAAATTCATGGACCAATCTCAGCTTTGGAGAGTGAGTTGGTTTAAAGAGAAACAGTAAGGGCCTTCCCTGACGGTCTTGTGGTTAAGACTCCATGTTTCCACTGCAGAGGGTATGGGTTCCATCTGGGGTCAGGGAACTAACATCCCACAGGCTGTGTGATGTGGCAAAAAAAAAAAAAAGAAAAACAGTAAGTTAGTACATTACTTCACTAGGTTAAAAAAAAAAAGAGTATTAAGTAAAAAGATGTGATGTGGTTATGAAGAAAAGAAACCAGTGCGGAAGGTACCTAGGGTCAGGAAACACTGGTTGGGTCCCTCCAGGGGGTGGAGTCCCAGGGGAATTTTCTCTTTTGGGTTGTCCATTGATGTTTTGTTTGTCCTGAAAAAGAAAATTAGCTGTTTTATTCTGACCTCATTTAGCGTCTCTTGAGGTTAGGTTGTAAGTAATAATACGAAAGTGATCCTGTGTGTCTTTGACCTGTCTTCTGTAACAGGAACGTCTTTCAAAATGGCATTGCAATATCACACTGAGATGTTGACATGGATATGGCCAAGGTGCCAGAGTTTTTGTAGCTGCCTAATCCCTCGTGACATCCTTTTCTAGCCACCTCCACTGCCCTCTCCCCTCCCCAGCCTTGTCCCAAACCCCTGACAACCACGGATCCACTCTCCATCTCTGTTGTTTGATACTTTCGAGAATATTATTGGTGAACTCATGTAGCATGTAACCTGTGGACTTTTAAACAGCTAGTATGCACCAGGTGAAAAATGAAAATAAAAAATAATAAGTGTAGAAATGTGTTGTTTATAATTGACTTGGAAATATTCCTACTTAGTGGTTGTGTGTGTGTGTGTGTGTGTGTGTCTGCATTGGCTAGAAATATCGTACAGACAGCCCTGTCCAACAGAAATGTGATATGAGCCACAGAACTATAATAAAATTTTCCAGTAGATACATTAAAACATTTAAAAATAATAAAATAAATAAAAATAACAAATAATAATATATTTAATGTTGTTGTTCAGTAGCTAAGTCGTGTCTGACTCTTTGCAACCACATGAACTGCAGCACGCCAGGCTTCCCTGTTCTTCACCAACTCCCGGAGGTTACTCAAACTCGTGTCCATTGAGTCGATGATGCCATCCAACTATCTCATCCTCTGTCACCCCCTTCTTCTCCTGCCCTCAATCTTTCCCAGTATCAGGGTCCATTCCTGTGAGTTGGCTTTTCGCATCAGGTGGCCAAAGTATTGGAGCTTCAACTTCAGCATCAGTCCTTCCAATGAATATTCAGAGTTGATTTCCTTTAGGATTGACTGGCTTGATCACCTTGCTCTCCAATAATGTAATGCAATTATATGTTATACTAACAACAAGGATATGAATGCTGTATTAATTATATTGTAATAATTTATTACATATCACATGATAAATGAATATAAACATATTGTGTAAAAGTATTATGTAATAGTGTTTACAACTACATGATATATAATTATATAACATAAACCATATAACATATAATATATATTAATGTATATATGTATGAATATATTATAGTAACAATGCTATTAATATTTTATATTGCTATGTATAATATATATAATACAAGAATATCATATATTATACATTATATATAACATTTATATATTATATACTATATACTATATTGAAATATATAATATACTATATATAATATATAGCAATATATTATATAATAATATATAAGAAAATAATATAGTCAATAATATATTTTGCTTAACTTATTATTTTTATTTCAGCATGTAATCAGTGTGAAAAATTATTACTAAGATCTTTTGCATTTTACATTCTTTTCTACACTGAAGTATAGCTAATTTACAATGTTATGTTATTTTAAAGTGAACAGCAAAGTGATTCAGCTATACATATATAGATATAAATATTCTTTTTCAGGTTCTTTTCCATCATAGGTTATTACAATGAGTGTCATTCCCTATGCTATACAGTAAGTCCTATTGTTTACCTATTTTATATATAGTAGCGTGCATATGTTAAGAGCTTCCAAATGGCACAGTGGTAAAGAATCTACCTGCCATTTCAGGAGACACAGATGTGGGTTTGATCCCTGGGTTGGGAAGGTCCCTTGGGGTAGGAAAATGGCAACCTGCTTCAGTATTCTTGCCTGGAAAACGCTATGGACGGAAGAGCCTGGTGAGCTATAGTCCATGGGGTGGCAAAGAGTTGGACACGACTATGTATGCACTCATGTGTATATGTTAATCCCAAACTCCTAATTTATCTCTCTCCTCTGTGTCCTGCTATTCTTTTTGGTAACCATAATTTTTTTTTTTTAATTCCTGTGAGTCTATTTTTGCTTTGTAAATAAGTTCATTTGTGTGATTTTTGTGGGTTCCACATTTAAGTGCTGTCATATGACTTGTATTTCTCTCTCTGATTTACTTCTCATCTCTAGGTCCATCCACGTTGCTGCAAATGGCTTTATTTCATTCTTTTTTATGACTGAGTAATACCCCAATGTATATATTTATATACCACATATTCTTTATCCATTCACCTGTCAATGAACCTTTAGGTAACTTCCATGTCTTGACTTTTGTGAACACTTCTGTTATGAACATTAGGGTGCGTGTGCCTTTTCAAATTAGAGTTTTCTCTAGACATATGCCTAGAAGCAGGATTGCTGGGTCATATGGCAATTCTAATTTCAGGTTTCTTTTTTTTTTAAGGAACCTCCATACTGTTCTTCATAGTGGCTGTGCCAGTATACTTTTTTGGGGAGGGGCACCAAGTTTTCAAAACCCTGGGGGTGAGTTACACTCACAGTACATCTCCATTCAGACTGGCCTATTTCAAGTGCCCAGGGAGCCTCACAGAGGTGGTGGCTCCTGAATACGACAATCACGTAGATGTCAGCTCCTTCTTCCTCTTTGCAAGAGCTGGCTGAGTCTAGGGAACAGCCTCAGCATGGGGAACTGGGCATGGATCTTGTCCGATTCTGATGGGAACTGTAGCTGAATCTTGCTATTACCATGTTGTCATCTGTCCTGGGGACCATTTTATTCAAAGATGCTGTCTGAGCACCCAGAGTGACAGTTGCTCGGCAGGACTTCCAGAAAAGGGTGTGTGTGGGTTTTGATAGCAAATGTTGGTACCCATACAGACCCTCTGGCAGCAAGGTCATTGGGGGAAGAACTGAGCCCCAGCTACCTTCTGCTCTGGTACCCCCATAAAGATGCTTGTGAGCTTAGAGGTCCTTTCTACCTGGACAGCCCACTTGCCTCCTTCTGCCTTCCTCCCAGCCACTTGGGCTCCTCACTGGCTTGTTCCAGGAGGGCTGGTTAACCTCTCACTTTCAGCATGATCTTTCTCCGCCTCTTCTACAGACTTCCTTCTTCTGCCCTTAAATGTTGGCTTTCTAGAGTTCTCTTGAACACACGTCTTACTTTTGTGATGTCATCCAGTACCTTCCCAGCTCTCTCGCTCTTTTCAGGGTCTGGCTTCTACACCTACTTCACTCAAAATGATCTCAGTGTCTTCTCCCAAACTTCCCTCTCCCTTTTCATCCCCAACTCAAGGGCGTGCCAGCACTGTCCATATAGTCACCAAGCCTCACTTGGGAGCCACTCTGGAAGCCATCCTCTTCCCATTCCACATCTTGCCTGGTTCAAGCCCTGCATCCTCTCCCACTTGGGTCCTTACCTTTTCTCCTGCCTGGTCTCCCGGCTGCCTGGTCTATTTTTGAAAGACCACCCTTGTTGCTGTTACGCCTTCCTTCAGAGTGCAGCCTCCTCCAGGAAGCCCTCCTTAACTTCCTCCTCCCATCTCCCCATCCCTGTGCTCCATCCCTGTTCCTGGCCACCCTCTGGCTTTCCTAGGTTGGAGGAATAGGCTGTAGGCACTGGGGTCTTTTTTTTCACCCTGATTTGGAGAGGAGTTGCTTCCCAGAAGCTGGGCTTCACAGTGGTCTTCTAGAAACACTTGGACACCAACATGTGGGATCCATGTCGCTTTTCCAAGGCCTGGAGTTGATCAGCACATACCCAGGAGGGAAGTGGGTTGATGGGCTAGGCGATTGTGAAATCGGAAGCCCAAGGAATCTGCTGGGTCAACAAGTACCAAAGAGGAAGTGGTGGGGAAAGGGAGTGGATGATGGGTTTGGCTGAGTTGGCTGTGTTCCTACCTCCGCCCCCCAACCCCATCATGCCCCAACCTGTTGCTCAGATCTGACTCCCCAAGCCCTGGAGGGCAGAGCTCCCTACCCCCCTGCATCTGGGCCACGTGACCTTCTCAAGTACCCCATCTCCAACCTCCAGGATGGTATTACTTCAGATTCGTGTTGTCCGATAGGAATATGACATGAACCAAGCACATAATTTTAGATTTTTTCAGCAGCCAAGCAAGAGACAGGCAAAGAGAAACAAAAAGAATCAGGTAAAATAATTGAATGCTATGTTTTATTGAACTGAATATATTTCAAGTACTATCATTTCAAAATATGATCAGTACAAAAAGTTATTGAGAGAGTTCACATTCTTGTTTTTTCTTCACACCAAGTCTTTGAAATCTGGTATGTAGTTTTTCCTCACAGCATCTCTCATTTCAGATCCACCTCATTTTAAATGCTCAGCAATCTCAAGCAGCCAGTGGCTACCATATTGGACAGCTCAGGGCTATAATTCCTTGTTTAATGTTCAGATCATCTACAAAATTCTAACATCTAACTGCTGGAGTTTGTACTTCTAACATGTGAAGATTCTGGTGTGACATTCTAGAATCCTGTGATTAAAATAGCATGTGACTAACATTGTAGGATCCGTTGGGTCAAATAGCCTGTGATTCCAACTTTCTGAGAGTCTGTGATTTCAACAGTTTAGGCTTCAGAGTCTTTTACCTAGCTCAGGCATCAGCAAACTCCAGCCTGTGGACCAAATCCCACCTGTTGCTTGTTTTTGTGAATAAAGTTTTATTGGAAAACAGCCATGCTGTTCAATCTGTGGCCACTTTCATTCTACCAGAGAGTATGAAAGACCTCTTGACCCACAAAAACTAACATACCTACTCTCAGTTCCCTTACCAAAAAATTTAGTCTTGATCTATAAATTCAGATTCTAAGCTGGATGGTAATTTTTACAGCTGCTTATTTGTTGTACTTTTTACTTCACATGTTACAGACACTCTTTTTCATTCATCAGATATCTTGAAATAATATATATTGTTCAAAAGAGACTGGTTTCCCCGTCTGGTACACTCACCTTTTTGGGCTTCTGGAATTCTATTAGCCCATGGTGGAGGTTTAGTCCCTAAGTTATGTTTGACTCCTGTGACCCTATGACTGTAGTCCACCAGGCTCTTCTGTCCCTGGGATTCTCCAGGCAAGAATACTGGAGTGGGTTTCCATTTCCTTCTCCAGGAGATCTAATGGACCCGGGGATTGAACCTTGGTCTCCTGCATTTTGCAGGTGGATTCTTTACCAAGTGAACCATTAGAGTAGTCCCATTAGGCTGAACTTTATGAAATTACCAAACTTCATCCTATGTTGGTGTGAGGGCGTATAACAGCTTATTATTTTTAAAAAATTGTATGATATGCATAATGTAAAACTCACCATTAGTAACATTTAGTACATCCACAATGTTGTGCAACCCTGACTACTATTTCTAACTAGTACTATTTGTAACAGACTACTATCTGTAACTAGTTCCAGAACACTTTTTAAAAAAAAAACACACATTTTATTTTTAAATTTATATTTAAATTTTATATTTAAAATTTAATATTATATATATATATTTGCTTTTTGGCCATACTGTGCATCATGCAGGATCTTGTTCCCTGACCAGGGATTGAACTCGCGCCCCCTGCATGCAGAGCATGGAGTCTAAGTCCCTGGACCACCAGGGAAGTCCGTCTAGAACATTTTCATCACCCCAAAAGAAAGAACCCATTAAACAGTAACTTCCCATTCACATCCCCCTCTTCCCCTCAGGTTCTGGCCATCACTAATCTGCTTCCTGTTGCCACAGATTTGCCAGACTTCAACCTGTCATGACTCACAAAAAATGACAAATTTGATATGGGTGAATTGAACAAACTTCTAGAGGGCTTCCCAGGTGGTGCTAATGATAAAGAATCTGCCGCCCAATGTAGGAGACTTAAGAGATGAGGGTTCCATCCCTGGGTCAGGAAGATCCCCTGGAGGAGGGCATGGCAATCCACTGCAGTATTAGTGCCTGGAAAATTCCATGGGCAGATGAGCCTGGCGAGCTACAGGCCATGGGGCTGCAAAGAATCGGACTTCTAAGATGTCCTCATTGTATCCAGTGTTGAGGGGCCAATACTCAGCATCTCATAGGGCGTCTGTAAAAGGAACCCCACTCCCTAAATGACCCCTGACTTTTTATAACATCTGTGTCCCTGTCTCCATTCACAGCATCCCCCAGATCCCCAGATAAGAACCTCCAGGTCCAGAGACAGCAGCAAACCTTAGCTTCCTAGAATCCGAGAAACAGTTGCCTGGGACTCAGTGACCAAGGAGTTTAAGTGATCTGAGAAATACATTCTGTAACCTCAAGATCAGAGGAGGTTTGAGCTGATAAAGGACAATGTCCCCTCCCATACCTGCCCCCACCTCCTGGGACTTCTCCCATGTTAGTTTCTCTTTCTGACCAGGGCAGGTTCCCACGGGGGGCTTAGGGCTGGCGGGATGTGGGGGACAAAGGTGGTGGGAGGGGGTGGTCTGGGTCAGGCTCAACCAAGACTGGGTTGCCCAGAGACATCCTGGCTCACACTGCGAGTCTTTGACCCCAAAACAACTTCCTCTACCAATGGGAGTTTCTTCTCCAAACAACAACAAAAGAAATATATAAATATATCCCCTCAACCTCTGAAGCACACACCCATTGGCGCAAACACCAAAACCACTGAATAAAGTGTTCTGAGGCTAGAATAAGGGTCACTTCCTCTTGCTAAGCCTTTCTGTCTAAAATGTAGCTTTCAAAAATTGATAGCATATGCTTTTTATTGTTGCTAATTTACCAAATGTGTACCCAGCATCTCCTGTGTGCCAGGTGCTATCGTGTGTATCGTGTGTGTTTTAAATCTTTTCATCCATTTAATGTTCATAGCTAAAATGTTCATTTCACAGATGAGGAAATTGAGGCTCAGAAGGGTTGAGGCCTGAGAAGCTCGTCAATGGGGAACCTAGAATATGTATCGTATTGCTCTGGCTCTCAAATCCATGTTCTCAGACTCTGTGCTATGCTGGGAGGGAGGTTAGGAACCACTAGGCTCAAAATCTTCCCATTTTATTTGTTATTATTATTTGTTAAGTTTTTTGCCCAGTTGTGCAGCTTGCAGGATCTTAGATCCCTGACCCAGGATCGAACCTCGAACCTTGGAAGTGAAAGTGCAGTATTCCAACCGCTGAACCACCAGGGACGTCCCCCAAACCTTCCCATGTTAAAGAGGGAAAACAGAGGCCCATAGACGGATAGGACTTGTTTGTGTTTTGTCTGCCTCTGATGCCTCAGGCTTTGTGCTGGGCACCCTTGGCCTTTTACTGGAGGCTGTGACCTTGAGCTGTCTCCCTCAGAATGTGGGAGGCGGGAGGTATACTGGTCTTCAAGGCTCTGCAGAGGGCAGAAGGGAGGGGAGGGGCTGAGTTGGAGTCCGGGAGGGGGTGGGGGTAGTGGGCCGTGGAGACATGGAGGGGAAGACCTCAGAGGGCCCTGCTGGGACGGCGAGTCTAGGCCAAGACCCCCAGACCCCAAAGGTCAAGCCACATGTAGATCTGGCTTCCAGGAAGCTGGTGACATGGAGGTTGTGCTGGGGACACTGGGTCAGCTCCCACCCACCTTTGCCCGCTGCCCAGTAATTTTGGGATGTGTGAGTCATGGGAAGAATGCAGGACAGACACTAGCTGGAATAGGAAAAGGCCAATCCTGTTTTTCCCTGCTTAAGAGTGTCGGCTGGGACCTGTGAGGTGACAGCGCCTGGCGGAATCCCCTAAGAGCTCCGGGAACCGGCTTGCAGGAATCCATTAGCTGCCAGACATCTGGGGAGAGATTTCAGACGTCCCAGGTCTTGGCTGTCAGCCTGGATCTTGCTCCCCCGTGGCATCTGGCCCAACTGGGGACCATTCCTCAAGAGACGGTAAGGATGGAGGGAAGAAGCGGGGGGTGTGCATTTTCCCAATCCTGGTCATATAGACTCATTATTTTCAGCATCTGGGAATCAGAACTAGAATTTCAGGAGTGGAATCTTAATACCATCGCAATGGAATCCGCATCGGAATCCCAGACTCTTGGAATTTACTTGAGCAGGTCAACAGAAAGCTTCTGTCAAGGGATCCCCATATATTAAAATTATCACACTCAGGTGGGCTTCCTTGGTAGCTCAGTTGGTAAAAGATCCTTCTGCAATACAGGAGACCCCAGTTCAATTTCTGGGCTGGGACGAGCCCCTGGAGAAGAGTTAGGCTACCCACTCCAGTATTCTTGGGCTTCCCTGGTAGCTCAGGCAGTAAAGAATCTGCCTGCCATATAGGAGACATGGGTTCGTTCCCTGGATTGGGAAGATCCCTTGGAGGAGGGCTTGGCAACCCACTCCAGGATTCTTGTCTGGAGAATCGCCATGGACAGAGGAGCCTGGCAGCTGCAGTCCAGGGGGTCGCAAAGAATCAGACGTGACTGAGTGACTAAGTACACACATAGGTATAAACAGAGAAATATAATTCATTTGGTGTATAAAATCAGAAGATAATAATGCTACCCTCGATGCTCCTTAACTGTCCTTTAGTCTGTGGCTGGTTAGTAAGCGTGACACACCCAGCCCATGGATTGATTTTGATCTTATTGTGAAGAAAGGAGTTGATTTGTGTCCATATAGGGAAAGTAGATCTGAGACACATTAAATGGAAAAGATTAAGCAATGGCACAGGGAATGTTTGGATTTCTGTTTAATGTGTTAAAAGGGAAATACCATTGACTGAGTTGCTTACACAGGGAAAACTCAGATTTGAACCGGAAAGAGCCAGGAAGGGTGGAGTCTCAGGGTGGCAGGAGGGGGTACATGTGGATCCGGGACCAAGAGGCCAACACACATCTTAACGCTCACGGTGGACGAGGCACCTGTTCAGTTGATGAATTCACCTAACACCCTCTAAGGTGAGTCTGCTGTTCTCATTTCTGCAGACGAGGAAGCTGAGACACAGAGAGGTTTGGTGGCTTGCCCAAAGCCACACAGCTGGTGAGGGCTTGAATTTTTATTCTGTTGAAATGCAGATTCCGATTTGGTAGGTCTGGGGAGGGGCCTGAGATTCTTCACTTCTTCTTTTTTTTTTGGGCCACGATGTATAGCGTGTGTGGGATCTTAGTTCCCCAACCAGGGATTGAACTCTTGCCCCCTGCTGAAGAAGCGCAGAGACTTAACCACTGGACCACCAGGGAAGTCCTGAGGGTTTGAATTTTTAAAGCATGCACATGGCTTCATTTTAGAGATAAAAATAATATGAAGGCGAAGTGCCAAACTTCACACACACACACACACACACACACACACACACACACACACTGGCTTAGCCTTTTAGCAGCTACTTGGCATGGAGGAGAGGGGAAGGCATGCGGGGAGGGAGGAAGGGGAAGGGGAGTGCCCCAACTTCCCTTCTGCCCTTCCTGTTGTGTGGAGTTCCAGCTGATGCCCTGCAGAGGGCCAGTCAGCCCAAAAGAGTCAGCAGAGAGCCGCAGGGTCAGGTTATTATGACATCATGCGGACGAGTCTATTTTCAACCTGACCCCTTGATCTGTAAAACAAGCTTTGCATGTATTGGCTCTTCAAAGCCTCCCCAAACTGGTGAGGTAGGCTCATCTCCATGACTAGCTTGTCAGATGAGGAAACCCAGAGAGAGAGAGCCGGCCGAAACTGTGCACTCAAAGTCACAGAGGCCGGGTCTGCTCAGGCTCACTGGCTGTCCGGCCTTCCAACTCTCCCAAACCTAAGACTTTTGGATGATGATGTTCTAGGGCCTGGAGTTTCAGAGTGGGACTAATTAACACAGTTTGAAACTCAGCTCTGTTACTTGCTTAGCTGAGCCACCTTCGGTAAGTTCCTTAACTTCTCTATGGCCTCAGTTTTCTTGTCTGCAGAATGGGTCTAACAATGTTGTGAAAATCAGAGAGTTGTTATAAGGACTAAATGATATAATATGTAAAGGGGCTTGGAGCAATGCCCGGCACAGACACAAAGTACTCAGTAGATGGTGCTAATAATAATAATAATGAAAGGGGATTTCCTGGTGGCTCAGATGGTAAAGAGTCTGCCTGCAACACCGGAGACCTGGGTTGTAGTAGTAGTAGTTATGATTCTCATTGCTATGGTAGACAATGTCATTTCTCTGCTCAGCACCTTCCCATGGCTCCCATCTCATGCAGAATAAAAGATGAAGAGCTTACGGTACCTATGTAGGCACTGATATCTCTGTTTTTACCTTCCATCTATTCCACGGGAGATGGATTCTAACGTATACCATCATGTTCCTGCCTTAGGGCATTTGCACTGGCTCTTTCCTCTGCCTGAGATTCACTTCTCCCAGATCAGCACACAGCTCCCTCCCCACCTCCTTTCTTGTTGCTGTTGTTCAGTCCCCGTCCGACTCTTTTCGACCCCATGGACTGCAGTCCACCAGGCTTTCTTGTCCTTCACTACCTCCCAGAGTCTGCTCAAACTCATGTCCATTGAGTCGATGATGTCATCTGACCATCTTGCCCCCTCTTCTCCTCCTGCCCTCCATCCCCTCCTTTCTGGTTTTGCTCAAATATCACCTTTTCAGAGAGGCCTTCCTTGACCCCTCATTTAAAATTCCACTATAAAGAATTAAAAATTCCTTGTAATGCAGGAAACCTGAGTTCGATCCTTGGGTTGAGAAGAGCCCCTGGAGAAGGGAAGGGCAACCCACTCCAGTATTCTTGCCTGGAGAATCCCATGGACAGAGGAGCCTGGCAGGCTACATGCCATCCATGTGGTCACACTGAGTTGGACATGACTGAGTGATTAACACTTTCACGTTCACTTTCATCTTGATGAATATTCAAGTTCCAATAGTTTAGATTCTAGAGTTCCTGTTTGCTAACTGGCTAGTGTTCAATGCTCTAGAACTTCACTAGAGCCACTAGTCATGTGTAACTATTTAAATCAATGAAAATGGAATAAGATAGAAAGTTTAGTTTCTCAGTCACCTTGGCTCCCATTTCAGATATTCAGTAGCCACATGTGGCTGGCAGTTACTGTATTGGACCACAGATATGGACTATTCTCATCAACACTGAAAGTTCGATTGGACAGGGCTGGTCTAGAATTCCAAGCAATAAATGGCTAGCTAGCTACTAAATTCTAAGAATTTAGTATTTTGGAATTCTAAGATTTTTAGCATGCTAGAATTCTAACATGGTGATATTCTAGAATTCCAAGACGTTAATAAGCTGGGGTTCTAACTGTAACACTTTATTTTTTTTAACTGTAACATTTTAGAATTCCAAGATTCTAATGTGCTGGAGTTTTTTTTTTCCTTGTAGTTATTTATTTATTTTGACTGTGTTCAGTCTTTGTTGCTATGCAGGTTTTTCTCTAGTTGCTGTGAGTGGGGGCTACTTTTCAGTTTCGGGGCCCCGGCTTCTCATTGCAGTGGCTTCTCTTGATATGGCTCATGAGCTCAGTAATTGTGGCTTCTGGGCTTTAGAGCACAGACAGGCTCAATAGTTGTGGAGCATGGGATTAGTTGCTCCGTGGCACGTGAGAGCTTCCCGCACCAGGGGTGGAACCCGCGTCTCCTGCATTGGCAGGTGGATTCGTTACCACTGAGCCTTCAGGGGAGTCCTGTCCTGGAGTTCTGACAGTGTCCTGTCCTGGAGTTCTGATGTTGTCCTGTCCTGGCTTCCAAAATGCTAACGGGCTGGGGTTCCTATCCACTAGGATTCCGAGGGCCCGAGAGTCTTCATCTCTCTGAGTTTGCACACCATCGCTCGCCTTTGCAGGTGTCTGCAGCCTGGATGGAGAACACGTCTCTCGGCAACGAGTATGGGGATTATGGTGACATTCCGGATCTCCCGGTGGACTGTGCTGATGGCTCCTGCGTCTCCGTCGACCTCCTCCACGCGACCCCACTCCTGCTGTATGCCGCCGTCTTCCTGGTGGGGGTGCCGGGCAATGCCATGATGGCCTGGGTGACCTGGAAAGAGGCCCGCCAGAGGGTCAGTGCCATCTGGTTCCTCCAACTGGCCGTAGCGGACCTGCTCTGCTGCCTGTCTCTCCCCATCCTGGCGGTGTCGGTCGCTCACAAGGGCCATTGGCCGTACGGGGCAGTGGGCTGCCGGACCCTGCCCTCTGTCATCCTGCTGTCCATGTATGCCAGCGTCCTCCTCCTGGCCACTCTCAGCATGGACCTCTGCCTGCTGGCCCTCAGGCCCATCTGGTGGGGTGCAGCCTGGCGGGCATGCAGGGTACGGGCAGCCTGTGGCGCATGCTGGGGGCTGGCCCTGCTGCTCACCGTGCCCTCGGCCGTCTACCGCCGGCTGCATCAGGAGCACTTCCCACGCCGGCTGGAGTGTGTGGTGGACTACGGTGGCTCGACCGTGGCAGAGAACTCAGTGACGGCCATCAGGTTTATTTTTGGCTTCCTGGGGCCACTGGTGGTCGTGGTCGTCTGCCATGGTGCCCTCCTGTGTCATGCTACCCGACGCTGCTGGCCACTGGGCCTGGCCGTGGTGGTGGGGTTTTTTGTCTGCTGGGCCCCCTACCATGCGCTGGGACTGATACTCACCATGGCGGCCCCACACTCCACCCTCCTGGCCCAGGCCCTGCGGGCTGAACCCTTGGTGGTGGGCCTGGCTCTTGCTCACAGCTGCCTCAATCCCATGCTTTTCCTCTATTTTGGGCAGGCTCAACTCCGCCAGTCTCTGCCAGCCGCATGTCGCTGGGCCCTGAAGGAGCCACAGAGTGAGGATGAAAGTATGGTCAGCAAGAAATCGACTAGCCACGACCTGGTCTCAGAGATGGAAGTGTAGGCTAGGGGGAAATTTGTTTGTACCCTCCTATCCCATTTTACAAGATGGGCTTCAGGCATAGCTGAATCTAGGAGCTTAATGATATTGTCATTTATTCTTTTATTCATTCAACAAACATTTGTTATGCCCCTGCCATGAGCAGTGCAGATATAAAACATTTCCATCATTGCAGGAAATTCTATTGGATAAGGTTGCTCTAGAATATCACCTGTTCAGATCTTTGAAATCACACAGTAGTGATACCTTCTTAATTCCAGGACAGCACTTTACACATAGTTTCCCCTTTAAGGTAATTCCCAGAGGTCATTTGCCCAAGATCACACAACAAGGAAATTATAGAGTTGAGATTGGATCCCATGTTTACCTGACTCTAGTATCCATGCTCTTGATCACTGAAAATTTTCTTCAATGCCTTCTTCAAATAGTACTTCCTCCAGGGAGGTCTCCCTGATTCAGTCCCCTCCCTGGGGAACAGAACATTCTGTTCTCCAAGTTTCTGGAACAAAAGTTCCCGATTAACCTGTAAATTTTCCAAGGACAACATCTGGGCTAGTTTAATTTCTGTCTCGCCTCCACCCTTCCCAAACTTTAAAAAGAGCCAAACTCTGTTTGTGTACACCCTGTTTTCTTCCAACTAGATTGTGAGCTACCCAATGACTGGGATCTTTTTGTTGTTTTTTAAAAAAAATCTGATACAGGGACAGGTATTAGGTCAACAACACATATTTTATTTTTTAATATTGTATTCAGCATTCTCATGGAGAAGGGAATGGCAACACACTCCAGTATTCTTACCTGGGAAATCCCATGGACAGAGGACAGAGGAGCCTGGCAGGCCACAGTTCATGGGGTCACAAGAGTTGGACATAAGAGTTGGTGGTTTAAGAGACTAAACCACCAGAATTCTCATGCGTGATCCAAAATTGCCTTATCAAATGAATCCTGTCCTGGGACAATTTATGTAACTTCGTGAAAAGTTGAAAGAAATCTTGCTGTTAATCCACTGGGGCCAGGTGCCATTTAGGAGAGTTCTTTGTACATTTGTAAATAGTCTTTTGTATTTTTGAAATTTGTTTTCCTTTCTTATTGCATCAGTGTTACTTCTTGTTAAAAAGAATCAATTTCATGAAAGCTTTGAGAGTCTTTCTGAGCAATTTTCCATAGAAGTCCCTTGATTATGAAAAATAACCTTGCTTTTGGTTTGTTGTAACTTCCTCCTTTTGTTCTTAAGTTTGTTATATGGTTTTTGCTTATTTTTAGCATGAATGTATCAAGTTCTTTAGGTTTCCAATTAGAAGTTTTCCCAAGAACTAGTTTCACGTTTTCTACTCAATCCTTAGCATTGGTAGTTTGTTATTTTCTTCCTAACTTCATATATGTTGTTTGCTTTCTCCCATTTTCATTTTTTAAAAATTGTAGTTCTCTTTTGTACATTTTAAGCAGATGTTAGTCAATTTCTTCCCCTTCTTCTTTTGATAATGACACAATTGGCTCCTCGATGTTCTAATTGCTTCCTAAGGATTCAATAGTTACATACAGCTTACCACTTGACATCCCAACTCATTGTAGAATAACTAACTTTATATGTTCAAAACAGAAGTATGGATTTTCTCTTTTAGCCATCCTCCTGCTTCTTTTCCATCCCAATTGATGGCAACTCTGTATTTCCAGGCGCTCAGGCCAAGAACTTTGGGCCACCTCTCTTTCTCTCATACTCATGGTCCATGGCCAATTTATCAGCCAGTCCCTGCAGATTCTATCTTAAAATATCCATCTTCTCCGCCATCATCCTGGTCCAGCCATCTACTGTGGCAGCCTACTCCCGGTCCCCTCTTCTTATCTTAAATCCCTATAGTTTGTTCCCCACATGGGAGCCAGAGGACTCTGTTAAAATCTAAGTCACATGGAGCTCTGCCCATGGATTCCACCCCACTCAGATTGGAAGCCAAAGTCCTCACTTATATTCTCCTCCTCTTTCCCACCTCATTCCCTACTGTTCTCCAACCTTCATCCAACTACACAAGCCTGCTTGCTGACCCTTGAACCCTCCAAGTTATGTGGTCATCTCAGTCTTTGGCTCTGTTGCTTCCTCTACTGTGAATGTTCTCGCCAAGGGGTCCCCATGGCCTGCAACAGCGCTTTTAGTTCTTTGCCTAAATGCTACTTTCTGGCAGAGGTCTTCTCTGACTGTCACTGGACCAAATAGCATCACTCCTTGTTCCTTCCCTGCTTTGTTTTTCTCCACAGAAAATGCAGTTCTGCTTGACATTCTATATATTTATTTTAATCTATGTGTCTGTCTCCCTCACCAAAATATGAGCTCCTTTGTTTTGTTCATTTCTGTACTCTCAGTGCCTCGATCTGATTTTAGAAATGAAAGCTGTACCTTCTTAACCACAGCACTATCCAAAGGAAAAAGGAGAATGATGCGAAGGATATGAAAAATGAAAGATTTAACATTTATCAAGCTGCTGCTGCTAAGTCATTTCAGTCATGTCCAACTCTGTGCGACCCCAAAGACTGTAGCCCACCAGGCTCCGCCATCCCTGGGGTTCTCCAGGCAAGAACACTGGAGTGGGTTGCCATTTCCTTCTCCAATGCGTGAAAGTGAAATTGCTCAGTCGTGTCCGACTATGGGATTTTCCAGGCAAGAGTACTGGAGAGGGTTGCCACTGCCTTCTCTGATTTATCAAGCACCTATATGTATAATAGTGAAAAAAGTTTAGATACCTTATGTATGCTCTTGCATTTGTTTTTCCCAACAATCTTGAAAAGTAGGCATTATCCTCGTTTTATGGAAACTGAGGCTCAGGGCCACAATGACTGACCCATCTAGGACTAAAGAGGACTCACTTTTCTCCTTCAAGTAGTCATTCATTCAACATTCACTGACTGTCTAATCCCTGCGTTTGTCTCTGGAGAACATAGGACCTTCAAGACAGAAAGTTGGGAAGTTGAATTGTATTATTCATTAATAAATTGGTAGGGTGAATTATACATGAATAGATTGCATTAATGACTGTGAATTATAATACATCAATGTAAAGACCCTGAGGCTGGGAAAGATTGAAGGCAGGAGGAGAAGGGGACGACAGAGGACGAGATAGTTGAATGGCATCACTGACTCGATGGACATAGTTTGAGCAAGCTCTGGGAGTTGGTGATGGACAAGGAAGACTGGCGTGCTGCAGTCCATGGGGTCACAAAGAGTAGGATACGACTGAGCGACTGAACGGAACTGAATACATCAATGTATTAATAATTAATACATTAACAATATGAATTATAATAACTAAATCACGGGGAGGGTGTTCTGATAGTGTCTGGGCTCAGGCCAGCGTCCTATTTTGGCTAAACCCCGGCGTCCGGGCGACCCACAGATGCAATTAGATGTTCACCTGCAGGGTAGACCAACTCTCCACAGTCACGCCTCCACTTGCCCCCAGAGGGTGCAGCGTCACCCGAAGCTCCGCCCAAAGCGAGGCGGGGTCTGATCATTCTGTACGCAGGCGCAGAGTGAGCCTTGGGCGCTCGCAGCTGCTCATTGGTTCCTCTGTCCGCCGGAATGGCGTGCGCAGGCGCAGGACCGGCTTCGGGCGCGTGAGCGGTCCCGGGACCGGAAGTTGAGGCGATCTCGGCGGTTAGAGAGGTGAGGGGGGCGGGGCGGCTGCGTGGGGCGGCGGTGGAGGCTACTGGAGCCCGATCGGGATCGGGGACAGCTTGGGAGAGGGATGAGGGGAACGGGGAAACCCCGAGATGAGGCACGGTGTTGAAGGAAGCCGAGCAGTCGGGAGAAGGAGATGGAGATGGAGCCTGAGCGTTGTTAAGAGAACTGAGGGTCAGAGAGGTTAAAAGAAATGGAGGCACAAAAAGGAGTTTCGAGAAACTGTGGGACTGAGAGACGGGGAGATTGAAAGAGGAGAGAAGCTGAAAACTGGAGAGATAGAAGGCAAGAGACTAATGGATCAGACCAAGAGAGGCTCACAGGGTCCACGAGAGAAGTGTGATCGCACCGTGAACTTGGGAGATGGAGAGAAACGTAGAACGATGAGAGTGGAAACTAGGGTTTTGAGAAAAGTGTATATATGTGTGTGTGTGATGGATATATATGCATATAAATATATATGAGTGACGTAGAGTAGTGCCTGATATGTGTCAGCCCTAAGTAAATGTTGGCTATTATTAGAGCTTCAAACTAGGTGACGAAATTTTAGATGGAGAAATGGAGAGTCAGTGATGGAGAGAGAAGAAAACGGAGAGTCAGGAAAAAAAATTCAAACAAAATGAGAGATGAAAAACTGAATAGGAGGAGTGGAGTCAAATGAAGAAAGACAGTTGGAGAGAAAATAAGAGTGAAAAACAGAATCAGGGTGGGAGAGAATCAGATAAATGAAAAGAGTTGGGACCAGTCAAGGAGAGGGAAGAGAGGTAAGGGTGGTGAGCAAGACGGACCAGAAAAAAGACAAGAAACCTGAAGATGGAGAGCTAGACAGGAGAGATAGGGAAGTAGAGAAAATCTCTCAAAGCCTTGAGCCTAGGAAATAGAGACCAAGAGATGGTCAGAGGCACAGTAAGAAAGAAGCTAGTCAAGCCAAGAAGTCCAAAGGACAGCCTAAGAATAGACTCCTAGAGAGCCATAAGGATGCCCTCATTCTGGCTACATAAGGCAGTTAGCAGCCTAGGAGGAATGCTCTCCTCCATTTCATCGTCCTGTCTTTTTCTGGGACACACTGGCCCAGCATTGCAACAGACTTTCAAGGCCTTTTCCTTTTTGTTCCCTCCTAGAACAGAGATTCCCTCTGAAGGTTCTATGGCATCGCCCAGCCCACGTGTTTACCAGGAAGTGCTGGGCACTCCCCATAGGCTACTCTTCTATGGGAAACAGCTCTGGCAGTCCACAAGTTCTTCAACCGGCTCTTACCTGGCTCTGATAACTCCCAGGGTTGGTCTGGGTCCCTCTGAAACTATAGAGATAGAACCTCTGAACTCTGTTCTGTGATGGCCCTCAGAAACAAGGCTGAGTAGGGGAAAGCGTTGCTAATAAACCAAGGTGAACTGTGGCCTTTTGAGTGTAAAATTTTTTCCAGGTTGTATGCCTGTGGTTCCTCTCACTGTTTTCTCTGTCGGTCATCATGGAGAGAGAGCACTGGGCATGTATGTCAGTTACTGTTTAGCTTCTCTGTGTCAGGCTAGGTAATACACATTGCAGTGTGTAAAATGTGGAAAATGGGATTGTTCCCATTTTACAGATGAAGAAAACCTCAAAGGAGTTACTTTGCACGCAGACACATATCTGGTAAATGATAAAGCTGAGGTTGAAATTCAGATCTACCTGACTGTGAAGTCTTTACCACGGAAGGCTCGGAACCCTTTTGTCAATTTTTTTTCATTAATTTTTTTTGTTTGTTTGTTTTGGCCATGTTACATGGCATGTGGGATTTTAGTTCCCTGATCAGGGATCAAACCTGTGCTCCCTGCATTGGAAGCATGGAGGCTCATCCACTTGACTGCCAGGGAGGTCCCTTAGGACCCTTTGAAGATCATAAACTCCTTTAAGAATCTGAGTGATGGGCTTCACTCCAGAAAATTAGCATTTATACAAGGGGATGTGCTTCATTAGTTAGGAGTTACACAGCTAAGAGAAACCAGACCTTAAGCAAAAAGACATTTTTTTGTGTAGCGGTGAAATGGACTTTTGGAAGGAACTAAGCCTCAAGCGCTGAATGGTGTTGCCAGGCTTCTCCCCTGTCCCTCTTCCACTTCTCTCCTTGTGGTTGCTTGGTGACCATCCTTGTGTATGCCTCCTTGTGCCCACATGCAGTCTTTTCTGTAGGAAAGATTTCTAGGAAAAGACTCTTTAAGACCTGCTACAAACAACTTCCTGCTTATATCATCCTTGCTTAGCCAACAGCAGATAAGCTTTTCTCTCCTAGCAACCTAGTGTAAATTCCTGGGAAAGGCCCTGATTGCCTCTCCTTGGGTCATGTGTCTACTCCTCAGACCAGTCACTGGTTAAAGGGGGAGTACCATGATTGGCCAGGCCTTTGTCATTTGCCCAACCAATAGACGTTCTCAGACTTACAGGCAGTGGAAACCATGTAGAGTCCAAGAAGGGCTACTCTCCCAAGGAAAGTGCATTCGTTTTATAGAAAACAAAAAAAAAAACCCACAAAACGGGAAGTGCCAGGCAGGCAAAAACAAACCTTGCAGTGCTTGCAAAATCGTGCACTGAATTTCAAAGGGTTTGTGGGGCCTGAAACTCAGTAGACCACATCTCTCTCATGTTATTGTGTCTGGTGACCAAGTTCTGCTGCTGACTGGCCATGTGACCTACATTCCTTCCGGTCCAAAATCCCCTTCTTGGGGATCCTTCCCTGACTCCCAAGCATGGTCAAGGAAGGCTCCTGCAGCCCCTGGGCTTCCTTTCTTGCTGCCCCCATCTCTGGATTGTCAGAGTCTGGTGACAGGACCCGCTGTGGGCACTCAGTGTGGTCTTACCCATTGCTGTCCCTTCCCCTAGTCCAGTGCTTGCAAAACAGCAGGCTGTCAGTAAATGTTCCTATAGAATGACTGTCTTCTGTTTTTTCCCCGCAAACATCCAGGGCCTGCAGTCGCAGGATGAACTTGTGTCCATTCCAGAGGTCACCACGGGAGTCGTGAGGTGCCCTGTGCATCACCAGCTTGACCCAGGCCGCAGGCCATTTACTCTGCCAACACCTGGGTCAATCCTGTACCACCACTGAAGGGGAGACTAGCTCTTGGAAGAGAAAGTGCTACCTTCTTGCAGGCACTGGCCTCTCACTGCAGGAAGTGGGGAATGTCCGAGAATATTTGGTCCAGGGGCTCAGAACTGAGGCCAGTTTTGTGACAGCCCTGGAATTGGCCACGGCATGCCGCCTCCCAGAACAAGGGAGGGCAGGGGTCCCTGGGACCGACCCCGGACTCCCAGTCCTGAAGAGGCCCCAGAGAAATGGGACTGGAATTGTCCAGAGACACAGCGCCTCTTCGAGGATGCCTTCTTCGGCGATGAGGATTATATCCGGCAGGGTTCCGAGGAGTGCCAGAAGTTTTGGACGTTCTTTGAACGCTTGCAGAGATTCCAGAATCTCAGGACCACCAGGAAGGAGGAGAAAGACGCCAGGCGGCCCAAGCACAGCCACCCAGCACTGGCCGACCTCCCTCATGCTTATGACCCTCGCTACCGCATCAACCTCTCCGTCCTCGGCCCGGATGCTAGGGACTCTCGGGGGCTGGGCAGGTGCCTGCCCCCGGAGAGAGTGTCTGAGTTCCGCCGAGCCCTGTTGCACTACCTGGACTTCTGCCAGAAGCAGGCGTTTGGGCGACTGGCCAAACTGCAGCGGGAGCGGGCGGCACTGCCCATTGCCCAGTACGGGCACCGCATCCTGCAGACACTGAAGGAGCACCAGGTGGTGGTGGTGGCGGGCGACACGGGCTGCGGCAAGTCCACTCAGGTGCCCCAGTACCTGCTGGCCGCCGGCTTCAGTCACGTGGCCTGCACCCAGCCCCGGCGAATCGCCTGCATCTCGCTGGCCAAGCGCGTTGGCTTCGAGAGCCTCAGTCAGTACGGCTCACAGGTAAGTGGGGCAGAACAGGCTTCCAGGTTTTCTCGCATAACCTCGCGGGATAAGTTAATATCAATAAAGTTACAAAAACACTACCTTTTTATCTAGCAATGATTCTCCTAGAAATTTCTTTACAGATTGGCCTGGATATGGTCCAGATGACAGAGGTGCTAACAGTAGCCAGTTTAGTACTGTAAAAAAAATTGGAACTGTAAAAAAAATTGGAAATGCCTAAATGCTTATCAGTCTTTCTTTAGGCAGTCAGAAAAAAAAGAATGAAGATGCTTCTTACTAATGATGTCTAGGGTTCTAATCCTGGCTTGACCACTTAAAAATTGTTATTGAGACTTCCCTGGCAGTCCAGTGGTTAAGAATCCACATTCCAACACAGGGCACTTGGGTTCTATCCCTGGTCGGGGAATTAAGATCCCACATACTATGGGACCACTAAGCCTGAGTGCCCTGACTAGAGAAACACATCTGAAATTGATGTGTGTATGATGTGAGGTAGGGGTTAAGATATGTTTCCTCTCAATAACATTTTGTAGCTGGTTTACTTTGGATGACTGGCCTCAGTTTTTCTATCTGTGAGATGAGGGTAATAATAGTGCTTACATTGTATGGTAGTTGTGAGGATGAAATGAGTTGATATACATAGAGATTTGAAGTAGTTCCTGGTACATAGAAGGGACTCAAGAAAGGTTAATCATTACTATTATAACTAATTAGTATCATACACCAGGCTCCATGCCAAGTACTTTATGTGCATTAGCACATGTATTTCTCACGGCATCTGGAAGGAAAAAATATCTGTCTCCGGGATGGAATTGCCCAAAGTCGGCAGCGCTAAGTGGCAGAAGTGACATCCGAACCCAAGCCTGTTGGTCTCCAGGCTCTAATGCGGGACACTTGCTCAGGTTTTCAGTGTGGGGAGGGTCAGGGGCTACGGGACAGGTCCAGGGTCCTCTCTGACCACCCCCACACCCCCCACCCCCAGGTCGGCTACCAGATCCGTTTCGAGAGCACGCGCTCGGCGGCCACGAAGATCGTGTTCCTGACGGTGGGGCTGCTCCTCCGGCAGATCCAGCGGGAGCCCAGCCTGCCCCAGTACCAGGTGCTGATCGTGGACGAGGTGCACGAGCGGCACCTCCACAACGACTTCCTCCTGGGGGTCCTCCGGCGCCTGCTGCCCCAGCGGCCCGACCTCAAGGTCGTCCTCATGTCTTAAGTGCTTGTTAGAGGAGAGCCCAAAATTTAAAGACTCAAGTAACACAGAAATTTTTCTTGTCTCACAGGATAGAAGCAACTGGTCAGGTTGATGGGCAGTTCTGTTGCACGTGGTCTTTCAGGGACCCGGGCTCCCTTTCTCGTCGCTTTACCGTCCCCCGGGGCAGGGTTTCTCAGACTCAGCACGGTTGATATTTTGGGCTGGATAATTCTTGGTTGTGCCCTACAGGGTGTTTATCAGCATCCCTCAGAAGTGGCAGGGCCAGGACTTAAATCCTGCTCACAGATAGACGTGGCACCGGGCCGGGAGCTTGTTTGCCCTTCAGATCTACTGTGCCCTTCCCTACATTCCTGTCTGCCCCGGAAGGCACTAACGGACCCCCCTCCCCCGGCTTCTCCTTGGCCAGTGGGAAAAGGAGAGGCAGCCCCCTCCCTCGAGGTCTGCAGTGGCCTGAGCCTCACAGCTCCTTCCAAGATGCCTCTCTGCACAGTCCTCTCCTTTACGGTTTTGATAACTGCTCCTTCCTCTTGTTCTTTGGGGCCAGGGCTTGATAACAGCTCTGAGGCTCCTAGCGGCAGGAAATGTGACGTTCCTTGTGGTTTCTGGATCTCGGTGCCCATCAGTCTGTCTTCTAAGTAGTCATTAAAAACACCGAGGGTGCTTTCAGAGAAGTGATTTTGAGGGTTTTAATCCCGACTCCACCCCTTAAAATTTTGTTATTGTTGGAGTTATACTCCAACTACAGAAGATTTATGTGTATCACAAGTGTACAGTTCAGTTAATTTTCATAGATTAAATATCTCAACAGGGACTTCCCTGGCTGTCCAGTGGCTAAGACTTCAGGCTCCCAATGCTGGGGAGCTGTGTTTGATCCCTGGTTAGGAACTAGATCCCACATGCCGCACCTAAGACCTGGCACAGCCAAATAAATAAAAAATTTTTTTAGTTTTTATCCAAGAAAACATTTTAAAAAATAACTTGAATGGAGCCAGTATCTAGATGAAAAGGCATGAAACATTACCAGCACCCCGGAAACCTCCCAGTTACCTTGATACTTTGTCCTTTTATCACATCCTCTTCAAACTGCCCTATTTGGGACAGTTTGTCCTCTGTCCTTTGCTGCCTGGATGGTCTGCGACCTCTCCGTCAGCCATGGCCTCCCCACCCTGATGTCGGAGCTGGAGTGACCAGGTCTGCTCCTGCCTGGGGCCATCTCCTCGCAGGTCGTGTACCAGCCGCAGGAGGCCGAGCCGACCACGTCCAAGCCGGAGAAGCTGGACCCGAGGCCCTTCCTCAGGGTGCTGGAGGCCATCGACAATAAGTACCCGCCCGAGGAGCGGGGCGACCTCCTGGTGTTCCTCAGTGGCATGGCGGAGATCAGCGCAGTGCTCGAGGCCGCCCAGACCTACGCCAGCCACACCCAGCGCTGGGTGGTGCTGCCGCTGCATAGCACCCTCTCTGTGGCCGACCAGGACAAGGTAGGAGTGTCGGCCGGCGGAGGGGGCCAGGGGCGTCTCGCTGCGTAGCCAGAGGAGGAGCGGCTGGGGCGGTGGATACAGGACTGAGGCAACCCCACGACCCCGGGCTGTGGGCTGCAGAGTGGGGCCGCTCACATCTTTTAGCTGGGGGAGGATGCGTCAGGGCGAGCTTCCTGATGAGGTGGGGGGCACTGCAGCTGAGCTTTGCAGACGAGAATTTTGAGTAAGAGAAGAGGAAGGAAGGCAGTCTGGGTCGGGGGAACTAGCTTGAGCAAAGGCCTGGACATGGGAATCTGGGAGTCAGGTGTGGGGAAAGTGAAGAGACTGCCTGGTTGGAATGGACGGGTGCTGGGGGACCTGGCTTTGGGTCAGTGTCGGTCTAACAAATTACCCCAAAACCTAGTAGCGTGTTCACTGTTACATTCATTGGCTCACATAGTTTCTGTCAATCAGGAATCTGGGAGGAGCTTAGCTGGATGGTTCTGGCTCCGGGTCTCTCAGGAGGTTGTGGTCAGGTGTCAGCTGGGGCCGCTGTCATCTGAAGGCTTGACTGGGGCTGGAGGATTCTCTTCTGAGATGGAGCACTCACTCACATGGCTAGCTATTGGTTGGGGGGCCTTTCTAGGGGGCTGCTTGAGAGTTCTCACAACGTGGTGGCCAGCTCTTCCCAAGAGACCAGAGTAGAAGCCACAGCATCTTTTATGATGTAGCTGTGGAAATCACAAACCATCACTCCTGCCCTGTTCAAAGGAACAGTACTGGGTGAGGCTGTGAATCCCACGAGGTGAGACTGCCCCGGCCATCCTGGAGGCTGACTGCCATAATCACCTCCAGGAGAGTCCCTTCCAAATAAATAAAAAAATTTTTTAGTTTTTATCCAAGAAAACATTTTAAAAAATAACTTGAATGGAGCCAGTATCTAGATGAAAAGGCATGAAACATTACCAGCACCCCGGAAACCTCCCAGTTACCTTGATACTTTGTCCTTTTATCACATCCTCTTCAAACTGCCCTATTTGGGACAGTTTGTCCTCTGTCCTTTGCTGCCTGGATGGTCTGCGACCTCTCCGTCAGCCATGGCCTCCCCACCCTGATGTCGGAGCTGGAGTGACCAGGTCTGCTCCTGCCTGGGGCCATCTCCTCGCAGGTCGTGTACCAGCCGCAGGAGGCCGAGCCGACCACGTCCAAGCCGGAGAAGCTGGACCCGAGGCCCTTCCTCAGGGTGCTGGAGGCCATCGACAATAAGTACCCGCCCGAGGAGCGGGGCGACCTCCTGGTGTTCCTCAGTGGCATGGCGGAGATCAGCGCAGTGCTCGAGGCCGCCCAGACCTACGCCAGCCACACCCAGCGCTGGGTGGTGCTGCCGCTGCATAGCACCCTCTCTGTGGCCGACCAGGACAAGGTAGGAGTGTCGGCCGGCGGAGGGGGCCAGGGGCGTCTCGCTGCGTAGCCAGAGGAGGAGCGGCTGGGGCGGTGGATACAGGACTGAGGCAACCCCACGACCCCGGGCTGTGGGCTGCAGAGTGGGGCCGCTCACATCTTTTAGCTGGGGGAGGATGCGTCAGGGCGAGCTTCCTGATGAGGTGGGGGGCACTGCAGCTGAGCTTTGCAGACGAGAATTTTGAGTAAGAGAAGAGGAAGGAAGGCAGTCTGGGTCGGGGGAACTAGCTTGAGCAAAGGCCTGGACATGGGAATCTGGGAGTCAGGTGTGGGGAAAGTGAAGAGACTGCCTGGTTGGAATGGACGGGTGCTGGGGGACCTGGCTTTGGGTCAGTGTCGGTCTAACAAATTACCCCAAAACCTAGTAGCGTGTTCACTGTTACATTCATTGGCTCACATAGTTTCTGTCAATCAGGAATCTGGGAGGAGCTTAGCTGGATGGTTCTGGCTCCGGGTCTCTCAGGAGGTTGTGGTCAGGTGTCAGCTGGGGCCGCTGTCATCTGAAGGCTTGACTGGGGCTGGAGGATTCTCTTCTGAGATGGAGCACTCACTCACATGGCTAGCTATTGGTTGGGGGGCCTTTCTAGGGGGCTGCTTGAGAGTTCTCACAACGTGGTGGCCAGCTCTTCCCAAGAGACCAGAGTAGAAGCCACAGCATCTTTTATGATGTAGCTGTGGAAATCACAAACCATCACTCCTGCCCTGTTCAAAGGAACAGTACTGGGTGAGGCTGTGAATCCCACGAGGTGAGACTGCCCCGGCCATCCTGGAGGCTGACTGCCATAATCACCTCCAGGAGAGTCCCTTCAGGTCATGTGGTTGTTTAGTGATTAAAGAAACAACCTTTAAGGGACCTCCCTGGTGGTCGGGTCCCATGGTTAAGGCTCCATGCTTCCACTGCAGGGGACACAGGTTCCACCCCTGGTTGGGGAACTAAGAGCCCACAGGCTGTGGCATGCAGCCAAAGAGTTAAAAAACAAAACACAGCCAAAAAGTTAAAAAAAGAAGAAGAATGAGAGAAAAGGAAGAAACAACGTTTGAGCACCTCCTAGTGCTTCTCTTGCACCAGGGGCCCCTTTGGGACCCAGTGGGAGCTTCCCCTCAAGCTGCTGGTCTGCTGGGGGCCGGATGGGCATGTAATCAACAATTCTACAAGTAGTAGAGGAAAGCCTCAGATACTCTGAGAGCAGAGTCTTGGTGGATTCAGGAAAGGCTTCCTGGGGGAAGGGACTTTGCAAATGGAGACCTGAGAAAGCCCCGTTCTGGGACGGGGGGCAGGGAAACGCATGTCCCAGCTACAGTGTGTGGAGCACTAGTTTTGTGCTGGGCAGCATCTGAGCCACCCTTTCTGCCAGGTCCTGCGGTCCCCGTTCGACAACTGCAGAAACTGAGGCGCAGGCACTTAGGCAGAGTCACCTGACTGGCAGAGCCCATGCTCTGAACCAGCTGTTGGCAGACTTTCTGTGAAGAGGGCGAAATCTTTAGGTGTTATGGGCATATGGTCTTTGTCGCAACTACCTTGCTGTTATAGCTAGAAAGCAGCTGTAGACTCACCAGGTGAGGCTGCGTTCCATTAAATTTGATTCACAAAAACAGATCACAGGGTGGATTTGGCTCATAGGCTGTAGTTGCTGACTGCCACTCTTAACCACTGTGCCTGACTGTCTCTTGGGTCCATGAGAAGGGCTTGTGCAAAGGGCCTGGGGTGAGAGAAAGACAGGGCAGCTGGGAAACTACGCACAGAGTGGCTGGGTCCAGATTGTGAGGGGGGAGTCCGGAGGGATGGGACTGGGGAGGTGGACAGGGTAGACCACCAGGGGCCTGGAAGACCCACTGTAGGCCTGGACTTTGTCCTGAGGGCACTGGGGGATCTTGGGAGGGTTCTGAGCAAGGTGATGGGCAGTTCTGTTTGTGCTTTAGCAGATCCCTCTGTTGCATGTGAAGGCTGGATGGGAGGGGTGAGACCAGAGACCAGGGAGGAAGCTGGAGTGGGATCTGGGTGGGAAAGGATAGGCATGGACCAGGGCAGGGGCTGTGGGTTTGGGGAGGAAGGAATGGATTCATGAGATATTCAGGGGGATCGGCTGTGGCTGGATGGGTGAGGAGAGATGAATACCCAAGACGGCCCAGGTTTCTGGCCCCAGTGATGCAGTAGATGAGGAGATGGGGGCCCAAGGAGGAAAGGGTTTGGTAGAAGATGCTCAGGCTGTTTGAGACATGTGACTGTGGGGTCCCATGGGAGATCCAGGAGACATCCAGGAGGCCACTGGACACGGGTCAGTAAGTGCCATGTTAGTCGTGCAAAGAGCCTGGGTGGGGTAGGACAAAGACAAGGCGCCTAGGCCGCCTCTTCACTGTCCCCCAGGTATTCGACGTGGCCCCACCTGGAGTCCGGAAGTGCATCCTCTCCACCAACATTGCTGAGACCTCAGTCACCATTGACGGCATCCGCTTCGTGGTAGATTCTGGTAAGGGCGCCCCCTGGCGTCCCCCAGGGCCTGGCGAGATGTGGGGTTGGAGATGTGCGCGTGGAGGGAGGGAGCCCCACACAGAGGTAGGGAGGTGGTAGTGTTTCGGGCTGTGGAGCAGTGGCAGCATCTTAGTCTCGCTCAGGCCTTCCAGGCTTGCCCCTGCCTCAGGGCCTTTGCACTTACCGTTGTCTCTGCTGAGAGCTGTCTTTCCCCGAGATATCCACATGGCTCACTCCCTCACCTCATTGTAGGACCTGTGCAAATGTCTCCCCAGTAGAGAAGCCCCCCTTGTCCATGTTATCTAAGTGATCTTTCACTGTCACCTCCCTCATGAGGCTTTATTTTTCTTCATAGTGTGGGGCATTATATTTTACATCCCAGCTAGACTCTTTTCTGAAAAGTCAGCATCGCTTAGTGGTGAGGAGACACTGGAACCAGCCTGGCCGGGTACCCTGCTGGCCGTGTGACCAAGGTCTGACACTCTCAGTAGGTCATTTTGCTCATTTGTAAAATGACAGTAATAATAGCGCCTCCTTCAGGTTGTGAGGATTAGAAGAGTTAATACACTCGGGGGCTGCGGCCAGTACCTGGCACAGCGTGAATGAATGCTCAATACATGTTAGCAGTTACCTTACTGTATTGAATCTGGTACCATTGATGAGAAAAGATAAGGAAATGGCAAACCACTCCAGTATCCTTGCCTGGAAAATCCCATGGACAGAGGAGTGGTGGGCTGCAGTCCATGGGGTTGCAGAGAATTGGGCACGAGTGAGCGACTAACACACACATAATTTTATGTACTGTTAGAAAATGCTGTCTGTTAATCAGTGAGATGTCACTGATTTTAAGGTGAATTCCATTTTTAGAGACAAAAAAGCGTGGTCTTGAATTGATGAAATCTGGTGCTCTGTTCCGCCCCGTGAATGAAGGGACTTTGTTTAGCTCACAGCTGTGTCCCTAGTCCACACGGTGCCTGCACCTGCCTGTGTGCTTAGCTGCTCAGTCGTGTCTGACTGTTTGCAGCCCCATGGACTGTAGCCCGCCAGGCTCCTCTGTCCATGGGATTCTCCAGGCAAGAATACTGGAGTGGGTTGCCATGCCCTCCCCCAGGAGATCTTCCCAACCCAGGTCTCCTGCATTGCAGGCAGGTTCTTTACCATCTCAGCCATCAGGGAAGCCTGGCACCTAGTAGGTGTTAATAAAATTTGTTGGATGACTAAATCCCTGAATAAAGAAAGGCTTGAAGAAGTAAATGAAAAGATGCATGAATGAAGAAACTGAAGAATACATTAACAGAATGGTAGAGTGGGGCCCAAACTAAGCTCTGGGATAGTGTTACTGGAACAGAGTCTGAAGTGAGGTGTTGGTGAATGAATGGCTGGGTCAAGGGCCAGGCACGTGGAGGGCCCACATGGGTCCTGCACACATCTTTCCTTCCCTTCCTGCTCCCCTCCTGCCCACCCAGGGAAGGTGAAGGAGATGAGCTACGACCCACAGGCCAAACTGCAGCGGCTGCAGGAATTCTGGATCAGTCAGGCCAGTGCCGAGCAGCGTAAGGGCCGGGCGGGCCGCACAGGCCCCGGCGTCTGCTTCCGCCTCTATGCTGAATCAGACTACGATGCCTTCGCCCCCTACCCTGTCCCGGAGATTCGGAGGGTTGCCCTGGATGCATTGGTGCTTCAGGTAAGGCAGGGTCAGAGAGGAGACTGAATCCTGAGTGCTGGTGCCAGAGAGGAATCCAGGAGATATTTAGACAGGGTTTCAGGATCAGGAAGGGGAGGGTGGGCCAGGCCACAGAGGGGAACTCATTCCTTCCAAATGTCAGATCCCATGTTGGGGTGGGAACTGTTCCCCACAGTCCACAGGGTCGTGGGAAGAACCTTGTGACTCAAGTAGAATGTTTTCAGCTGTAACAGAAAACCCATCAGGAAGTGGCTTTTTACTTTTTTTAGGAAGTGGCTTTTAAAACTGGGGTTTCTCAATATGCTTTATGTCATGGCTTGTATCTCAGTAGTTAGTTTTGCTTTGATTAGGCTTCTGTGACAAATAGACCCACGTGCATAACAGCCAACACAGCAGAATGTTAGTCCCTGGATTGGTAGGCAGTTTCCTTTATTCAAAGGTGTTGTTTAGTCACTAAGTCATGTCTGACTCTCTTGCTACCCTATGGACTGTAGCCCGCTAAGCTCCTCTGTCCATGGGATTTCTGAGGCAAGAATATTGGAGAGGGTTCCCATTTCCTTCTCCAGGGGATCTTCCCGACCCAGGGATTGAACCCGTATCTCCTACATTGGCAGGTGGATTCTTTACAGCTGAGCCACTGGGAAACCCTTATTCAGAAACCCGGACCTTTTCTCTTTTGTGGCTGCATCATCTCCCCAGGGCTTTCATCATTTGTGTCAGCCTGTGAGGGGGAGAGAGCATGGGACTTGGGTTTGGGAGGGTGAGGGTGGGTCCACAGTGATGTACCTCCCTTCCACTCACCTGGTGAGAGCTCACGGCCATGTCTCACTGCAGGGGAGGCTGGGAAGTGTAGTCCTGCGCTCCGGAAGAAGCAGGGAAGGAAAGTGGGCGGCATGTGCCGCGGGCTCACATGTGCCCAGGCAGGGGAGTGACATGAACCAGCCCCCTTCCTAAGGGTGATGCACACTGATAGTCTGTATTTGCTTGATTTCCTTTGGAAAAAGTGCCAGTTCTGACCCACTTCTTGGAGTTTCCTGACTCATATAACCTGCTGTTTGAAAAATATTGGCTTGAACAAAATTTCACATAACGAGAAGCCTTGAGATAAGGAGGTTATAGCCTTGGTTGTTTAAATAGATCGGTGATGTCATACAGTATCAGGCTTTTTAAAATTTATGTATTTATTTATAATTTCTATTTTTGAGCTGGGTCTCGTGGCACGTGGGGTCTTAGCTCCCCGACCAGGGATTGGATTTGTACCCCTGCAGTGGAGGCTTCCCTGGTGGCTCAGCTGGTAAAGAATCCACCTTCAATGCTGGAGACCCTGGTTCAATTCCTGGGCCAGGAAGATCCCCTGGAGAAGGGATAGGCTACCCACTCCAGTATTTGGGGGCTTCCCTGGTGGCTGAGACAGTAAAGAATCCTCCTGCAGTGCAGGACACCTGGTTTGATCCCTGGGTTGGGAAGATCCCCTTGAGGAGGGCATGGCAACCCACTCCAGTATTCTTGCCTGGAGAATCCTCATGGACAGAGGAGCCTGGCAGGCTAGCTACAGTCCATGGGGTCGCAAAAAGTTGGACACGACTGAGTGATTAAGCACAGCACAGCCGCTGCAGTGGAAGCTCGGAGTTTTCACCACTGGACTGCCAGGGTTTTTTCTAGAGCTCCAACCTCAGCTTAGCAGCAGCTCTCCTAATATCAGTGGTGATGATGATGATGATGATGATAGAAAATAATTTTACCTAGTATTTCTCATGTGCTGGGCTCTGTTCTAAGTTATATATATATAACTGTTTTGATCCTCACACAACCTTTGTGTAGTAAGTTAACTTATTCTAATTTATGGATGAGAAAAAGGATGCACAGAGAGGTAAAGTACCTTGATCCACGTGGCTTTGCTGGCAAGGGGTAGAGCCGGATTCATCTGGGGCCCTCAGGCTCCAGAGCCTGCCTCACGACTGCCCCTCCACTCTGGTAGCCACGGGGAGCACCTCCTCCGTCTTTGCTTGTTTGGCAGCAGAAGCAATGAACTGCCCCTCTTTGTGGGCAGTTTACTTACTGCCCACAAAGTTTACTTTTTTGAAGTTTACTTTTTTAAAAGTAGTTTTATTTTTATTTTTGGCTGCACTGGGTCTTTGTTGCCGTACGGGCGTTTCGCTCGTTGTGGCTCCGGGGCTTCTCCTTGCGGTGGCTTCTCGTTGCAGAGCAAGGGCTGCAGGGCTGTCCGGCTTCGGTGGTTGCGGCTCCCGGGCTCTAGAGCGCAGGCTCAGTCGCTCTGGCTTAGTTGCTCTGGGACAGGTGGGATCTTCCCAGGCCAGGGATCAAGCCAGTGTCTCCTGCATTGGCAGACATTGGCAGGCAGATTCTTTACCACTGAGCCACCGGGGAAGCCCCTGTGGGTCTTGTTTTTTTAAGGCCATGGGAACTTTGCCAGCCACCTTGGCCGGCCTCCCATCCTGCCTTCCACTCTGTGACCTGTAATTGTCCAGGAGGAAGGGAGGGAGGGCATTGCCTGACTGGATCAGAGCAGTGATTCGCAGTCCCAGTTACATGTTGGAATCACTGCAGTGCCTAAAAGTCAAAAATCATCCGTGCTTTATCCCCCTACCCAGAACTCCTAATTTGAAGGTCTTTTAACAAGTGCTAGTGGTCTGCCAGACAGCACCAGGGCTCGGTAACCAGGGAGGTCAGTGGGATGGCTGGTTGAGGGCTGGATGGCCTAGAACTTCCGGTGACCTCCAGATCAGGGCCAGGGAAGAAGTCACTTCTCCCAGAGACTTTGGCTGAGTCCCTGGCTCTCTGAGCTCTGTCCTCACTCTCTCAGGGTCACATGAGCCGCCACGCCAGCCTTACCTTCATCCCCTCACCAGAGGGATGCTGTTTTCCCTGAGCCGTGCTGGGTCCGGTGATGGGTACACACTTCACCTCTTCCTGCCCACGAGCCCCTCTGTGCCACTGAGATAATCAGGATGCTCTTGTTGACAGTGACAGAAACATGACTCAAGCTGTTGTTTTCAGCAAAGGGGATTTTATGGATTTGTGAGTCCATGTTGGCTTAAGAAAAAAATAAAGGATTTCTCCATCTGCTGTGGATTGGCTGCTTTCCAGGCAGTGGGAAAAATAACTTCAGCTGCTTTGGGCTTCCACACTGGGCCCTCAGAACCAGAGTGGGTGCTGGAGCGCCTCTCTCTCAGCTCCAGGTTGCAAAGTCCCAGGGAAGGATTCTGATTGGCCCAGCTCAGGTCACATGCTCATCCCTTTGTCAGTTGCTGTGACACCTCAGATGGTCCAGCTTAGATCATGTGCTTGCTCTGTGGCCAGAGTCTAGGAGAAGAGCTGCTAGGTGGACGGACAGACAGATAATGGTCCGCCTTCCCCACTTCTGTACAGTGAGTCTTGACATTGGATGCATTTTAAAAATTTATTTTAATTTTAATTGGGGGATAATTGCTTCACAACATTGTGTTGGTTTTTGCCATATGCCAACATGAATCAGCCATAGGTATACGTATGTCCCTCCCTCTGGGCGTTTTAAAGTGTCACAGGTCCCCCAGTGTTCCCCAGTGGCTCCTGTGTTCCCCATTCCTGAAGGGATTTGACTGTCATTCCAGATGAAGAGCATGAGCGTGGGGGACCCCCGAACCTTCCCGTTCATCGAGCCCCCACCACCAACCAGCTTGGAGACGGCCATCCTCTACCTCCGGGACCAGGGGGCTCTGGACAGCTCAGAGGCCCTCACCCCCATCGGGTCCCTGCTGGCACAACTGCCAGTGGATGTTGTGATTGGTGAGGACCACCGCCCCCCTGGGGGTGATCACGGAGGGTCCTGAAAATGGGTGTGGGACGCTGCTCACTCTCTGAGTGACCTGGAGGCAAGGTTGTTCTGTCTCTGGGCCCTGTCCATTCATTCACAAGTCCTCTGTGCCACACACTGTTCTAGCACCAGGGTTATAGCAGTAAACAAAACAAATGTTTCTTTCCTGTGCCCAGCCCAGCCCCAGCTTCACCCTGGTACCCGCCTTCCTGTGGTTATAAGGATGTCAAAACTGCCAGCCTCTTCCTCTTACTCATCCCTGAGTCATGCCAGCCCCTCCCAAGGAGCTTGCTAACCGAGGCATATTCATCTTCATCTTGCCCAATTCTCCTGACTCAGGACATTCTGTATTTACCAACCAACTATCCACGGCCCAGAGAATAGTCCCAGCTGAGCTCTGCCACCTGGGGCATCATTTCCCAAGCCTAGTGCTCAAGGGAGTTTGCTGCCTGCATCAACGTTAAAGTCCCCATCACTGTGACACGCTGGAGCTGCAGTATGGGCAGCAGGCTGGGTACCGCCCACCCTGAGGGCCACCCACGGCTATGGAAGTGATTTCTGTTTGTGTTACAAGAGGACAGGGATAGTGCAGAGAGAATCAGATCTGAGAAGAAAGAGAATGTTCTGTGAGCCTTTGCTGTATGTCAGTGTGGAAGACTCTGTGGCCCTTATTTCATTTTCATCTGGTGAGGGTAGGGCCTCAAGGCGTCCCTGTTGTACAGGTGAAGAAAACGAGGCTCAGAGAAAGCGCATCCAGGGAGGCACTCGCCAGGGAGGCACACCCCAGCCAGGCTGGCACCATTGGTCCCTGGGCCCTGCGGGGCGGGAGGCACAGATGACGTGGTGCTGAGCAGTTCTGGGCCCAGGCGGCTCATCGTCAGTCTTCCTCCGTGCCAGTAAGTGCCCATGCTTCACAGGTGAAACAGGTCATGCTCACAGCACGTAGATGCTGCTGTTAGCCCATTTCACAGATGGAAAAACAGAGGCACCGAGAGGTGGAGGGACTTGCCTGAGGTGACAGAATTAAGGGTTCTGGGACAGCCTTGTTTTTCTGCCCATCTTTATCTTATGAGGCTAGCTGTGTAACAGGAACTTTCTGGAAAGGTAGGCAGGGGAACAGTGAGGATGAGTCAGGTCACTTCCACTGGCAGGTGGAAGCAGTCTTTCATCACGCTGGGAGCTGATTCTGGATGTGATTCTGTCCCCCTGGCTCCCGAGGCCCTCTGGGGGTAAGGTGGAGGGTGGGTCAGGGGTTCCTGAGGAGTGGGGAATGCCATCGGGCACCCAGGAGGCTCAGCGTGGGTCCTCCCCCAGGAAAGATGCTGATCCTGGGCTCCATGTTCCACCTGGCCGAGCCCGTGCTCACCATTGCTGCTGCCCTCAGCGTCCAGACGCCCTTCACTCGCACCACCCAGAGCAACCCCGAGTGCGCGGCGGCGCGGCGGCCCCTGGAGAGTGACCAGGGCGACCCCTTCACGCTCTTCAACGTCTTCAACACCTGGGTGCAGGTGAGCTTGGCAGCACCCTCCCCCACCCCAGCTGCCTGGCTGTCGTTCTGCATGGAATCAGGGCTTTGTGCTCCACCCGCATCCCAAGGAGGACCCCTGAGGCCCCCACAGGCCAGGCCTGGCTGGGGAGAACCCCGAATCCACTTTTCATGGGACGAGCATGTGCTGAGGGGAGCCTGGGGTCTCTAAGCACTGACTAAAGCCAGCGGTGTCGGCTTTTTAGATGCCTTAGGGGGGTATCTGTGTGTTGAACACATGTTCCCTGGCCTTAGGGGATGTCTGTGTGTTGAACACATGTTCCCTGACCAGGCCTGGTCCTGTCCTGAGCTGTGCTAGGGACCCGGTAGTGACTAAACTCACCTGGCCCTGCCCTCCTGCAACTCCCAGTCCAGTGCAGGGAGGCAGACCGTCCCTGGACAGTGACCACCCAGAATGGGCTGCAGTGGGGAGTCCCCGGGGCTCAGAGAGCCCCAGAGGGCTGCCTGACCCTTAGTAGTCTGGGAGAACTTCCTGTAGGAGGAGGCATTGAGGCTGAGACCTGGAAGAAGGAGAGCAGTATCGTTGAGGGAGGGCTGACAGGTCTCCTGTCAGCCTCACATCTTCCCAGTGGCTGGTGTTGGGGTCTTGTCTAGGTGGTGGGTCAGCACCCCCACCCCTTCCCTCGGCTGGTCAGGCCCTGACCTCCTGGGGTCTGGACCTCCACTCAGGTGAAATCTGAACGGAGCAGAAACTCACGCAAGTGGTGCCGCCACCGTGGCATTGAGGAGCACCGGCTGTACGAGATGGCCAACCTGCGGCGCCAGTTCAAGGTGAGGCCTGGGAGAAGGGGTGGGGGCCGGCCCCCCTGGGGAAGGCAGCCAGGAACAAACTTGGGGCATGGGGGTGGGAGGAGGTAGAGGGAGAGTATGCGTGAACACCCTCCACGGCGTGGTATCTCCTCTTCTCTGACAGCATAGTCAGAGCCCCTCCCCACACCCACCTCCCCCACCGTCACATGGCTAGGTGTTGGGTGGGGCCAGGGCAAAGGGGTGAAAATCCAGGAGGGCTTCCTGGAGGGGTGGACAAGGTCTGCTGTCATGAGTCAAATCCTCACGAAGAGCCTTGTTCTCGAGCTGGGGTGCTGACGTGGCCATGCAGGCCGAGTGCTGGGAGGTGTGGAGCATGGGCTAGGGTGGGTGGGCTTCAGTAGTGTTGGTTGGAGGCACCATCTGGAGCAGGACATCTCAGCACTGAATCTGAGCTCTGCTGCTTGCTAGCAGTTCAACCGCCGGCAAGTTACTGGGCCTCTCAGGGCCTCAGCTTCTCCCTTAGAAAATGGGGAAGCAAAAACTAGCCCTGCCTCCAGCATTCCTGTGAGGACTAAATGAGTTAATACATTGTGGTTTTACTTTATTCCTTTATTTGGGCCGTGCTAGGTCTTCATTGCTGAGCGCAGGCTTTCTCTAGTTGCTGCGAGCGGGCTACTCTAGTTGTGGTGCTTGGGCTTCTCACTGCCATGGCTTCACTTGTGGAGCACGGGCTCTAGGGTGGGTGGGCTTCAGGAGTCGGGGCACCGGACTTAGTTACTCTGCAGCATGTGGGATCTTCCCAGACCAGGGGGCGAACTGATGTCCCCTGCATCGCACGGTGGTGGATTTGTAACCACTGGACCACCAGGTAATCCCTGCAATTTTTATTGTTATTATTAAGATGTGGTTTTGCAGGTGGTTTGTGTCATTAATATTCCACGGGCATCTTTCCCTTCGAACACAAAAAGGCTCTGGTGCTGGGGAATTCTAGCCCCCTGTTGTGTGACATGCCACGGAATGAAAATAAAACAAAAACAGCCTCTGATGTAGCCATTCCCCTTGGCTGCAGACCTCGGAGTGTGCAGTCACCACCAAGGCCTCCCATGCGTTAACGTGTCCCCACGTTCAGACATCCCCTTCGTACTTGACATCATCTCTCAACGTCTCTGACTTTCTTGGGCCCCAGATGCTGAGAAACGGGAGAAAAGTGGGGGTGCTTTTCCTTCTCTCACTCTCTCTGTCCCATGAGATATCCTGCCTCTTCTCATTGGTTGGGGCTCAATGAGAAACAGAGGGTCAATCCAGCAGGGTCCCTGGAATGCTTTTTCTGGAGGCGTGGGCAGGAGGTCTCTCAGGGGCGTTGGAATCATGGGGAGGGTCCATGATTTCTAGAATCCGCACCCCACTGCCCCCCCACCCCACCCCGGAGATTCTGCTTCAGTCGTTCTGGGTGGGGCGCAGGTCTTGATATTTCTTTTTTAAAATAATTTTATTTATTTCTGACTGTGCTGGATCTTCGTTGCGGCGAGCGGGGGCTACTCTCTAGTTGCGGTGCGCAGACTTCTCTTGCTGCAGGGCACGGGCTCCAGGGTGTGTGGGCTCAGTAACTGAGGCTCCCCGGCTCTAGAGCGTAGGCTAAGCAGTTGTGGTGCAGAGGCTTAGTTGCTCGGAGGTGAGTGGGACCTTCCCGGACCAGGGATCGAACCTGAGTCTCCTGCGTTGGCAGGCGGGTTCTTTACCACTGGGTCACCAGGGAAGCCCTGGTATTTGTGACAACTTCCCAGATGATCCTAGATGCTGCTGCTGTTATTGGCCAAAGCACCACACTTTGAGAAGTGTTTTATTGTAGGAACCTCAAGGGGCTGATGCAGGCCTGGAGGGGCAGGTGGGCAGGTAACCAGAGCCCGGGGATAGCTGGGTGGAGAGGGCGTGTGACCTGAGCCCCCAGCAAGGACCCGGCATGGTAATGATCACCCGGCCTCCTCTCTTCTCTCCTGTCCCCCAGCCCGGGTGTTCCGTTGGCCAGCGATGGAGACAGTTCTCTTTCCTAAAACAGTCACGTGCCCAGCACCATGCAAAGAGTTGTTGTTTTTACTTCCCTGACCAGGGATCGAACTTGGGCCCTGGCAGTGAAAGCGCCAAATCCTAACCACTGGACCACCAGAGAATTCCCAGAAAGTGGTTCTCGTATAGTCCCTTTCAGCGCCAGCTGGGAGTTCCCAGGAGGGTCCCTGTTTGTCGTTTGAGGACAAGGGTGGCTCTAAGGGTGAGGTCATGGGCCAGCCAGCTGCAGGCCCCCATCTGGAACGCGCGTTTGGGCCCAGAGTGCGCCTGACAGTGTCCCTGACTCGGGCTCCATCCACCCCCAGGAGCTTTTGGAGGACCATGGGCTGGTGGCCGGTGCCCGGGCCCCGCAGCCGGGGGACAGCTATAGTCGGCTGCAGCAGCGGCGGGAGCGCCAGGCGCTCTACCAGCTGAAGCGCCGGCACGAGGAGGGCGCGGGGCGCAAGCGCAAAGTGCTGCGAGTCCAGGACGACCAGGACGGCTGGTCCAGTGACGAGGACCGGGGTGGCTCAGCCTCCCGGGGGGCTGGCGACAGCGTGGACATCCAGGTGGGGCGCCATGGGGCGGTCTGGGGCCTGGGGCGGTGGGGATGGCGTTTATCAGAGTGGGGACTCCTCATCTCAGGAGGTTGGTTTCCGTGGACAGGTGTCTACTGAACCCCTGGGATCCCCAGACCCCAGTTCCAACCCCTCGGGAGACGGGGAGGGCCTCAGGAACCCACCTTCCCCTGTGTTGTCCCCAGGACGTGAAGTTTAAGCTCCGACACAATGTGGAACAGCTGCAGGCGGCCGCCAGCTCAGCCCAGGCCCTGACTCGGGGCCAGATGGCCCTGCTCAAGCTGGTGCTCAGCCGGGGCCTCTACCCGCAGCTCGCCGTCCCCGACCCGCTCAACAGCGGCCGCAAGGACTCTGACCAGGTGAGTCTCCTTCCTATCCGTGTCTTGTCACCTGTCACCCCTTCCCAGTGCCTGCTCTGTGCTGGGGTTACAGCAGTGACAGAGGCAGCTCTGGCCCTGTCCTTGTGGGGTGCAGTCTAATGATGGGGGCGGGGGAGAGACTCGTGCCCAGACAGTGACCCAGAGTGGGATGGGGACCCAGGGGCTGAGGGGACAGGGGCACCTGATCAGCGTGGGAGGGAATCAGGGAGGGCTTCCTGGAGGAGGGGGTTTTGCGTTGCGATGAGGAGGGAACTGGCAGCGGGGAGAGCAGGTCTGAGCCTCTGTCCCCTGGCATCCACCTCCCACTCCTTCAGATCTTCCACACCCAGACCAAGCAGGGCGTCGTGCTGCACCCCACCTGCGTCTTTACCAATAGCCCCGAGGTGCTGCACACGCAGGAGCAGGCGGCCAGGGGCGGCGGCGGGAGCCGAGGTACCGGGAGCCCAGGCGGGGGTGGGGAGAAGCCTTCCGTTGGGGGTGTGCGGGGGCACAGTGATCTCAGGGTGCCGCTTGCCATCGGGGGTTACCCCCTCACACCTCCCATCCTCTGCCTTCCCTGGGGCTGCTGACCTGAGACCTGCAGGTCCCAAGAGCCACGCCTGGCTGGGTGGCCTTGGGGGGGGTCTCCTTTTTGAAAACATTTAGAAAGTTCCAGGAATCTTTTAAGTAGAGAGACTGTGATGAACCCTCTGTGACCTTACCCAGGTGCAGCCATCAGCATTTTCCATCCTTGTTTATTCTGTCCCCTTGAGTTTTTTCCCCCCGTCTTTGCTGGAGCATGTTAAAGCAGGTTCCAGACATCTTACCAGTTAGTAATAATAATAAAAATCCTATTCATAAGGACTGTTATTTTGTATCACCACAGTGCTGTCATCCATCAGCCCTAACAAAATTAGCAACAATTCTTAGTATCACTGCATAGCCAAAATCACATTGAGCTTGGCAGAGTGTTTAAGAATATGCCACAGACATTTTATCCTTATACATGTTCTTTGTGTGGACGTTTGAATGGGGCTTCCATGGTGGCTCAGACAGTAAAGAATCTGCCTGCGGTGCAGGAGACCTGGGTTTGATCCCTGGGTCGGGAAGATCCCCGGGAGAAGGGAATGGCTACCCACTCCAGTATTCTTACCTGGGAAATCCCACCAACAGAGGAGCCTGGCGGGCTACAGTCCGTGGGGTCGCAAAGAGTCGGACATGACTGTAGTGACTAACACTTCACTGGAATAGCGGGGGCGGGACAGACCTCCCCTGGGGGGAATGACGGGTGTGTGTTGGTGGGTGGAGTGGGGAGGGGATGCTGAGCTGTCCCCTTGACCCTCTCAGATGACAGGGACAAGATGAGTAGCAAACACCAGCTTGTCGCCTTCGTCTCCCTCCTGGAGACCAACAAACCATACCTGGTGAACTGTGTCCGCATCCCCGCTCTGCAGGTGGGTCCCGCCCCAGCCTCCCCACCTCCCTCCATGGCACCGACTGCCAGGTGCCATGGCTGTGTTCCTTGGGGCAGGGGCCCCGGGGGTGGGGGGGGCCTGGAGGAGCCATCTGCCCCCAGGCTGGCTGCTATCTCCTCCTCCTGGTATCCAGTCATTACTGCCAGGTGCCAGCACTGGGGAAGACATGCAAGGCAGAACCTGGCCCCTGCCCCGCTGGAGCTCACATCTCACTGGGAAGGGTGGGCAGCCGCAATAAACACCGTGCTGCCGTGAATGATAGAGCAGAGCGCAAAGAACAGGGTGAAGGGGCTGGGGAGGGGAGGGCAGGGAAGGGGGCAGGCTCTAGTATGGGATTAGGCCATCTGGGTGGGCCTCACTGAGAAGGTGCAGTCAGGCAAAGGCCTGAACGTGGGAGGGGCTGTAGGGATCTCTGGGGGAAGAGCGACCTAGGCAGGGGGAAGAGCAAGTGCAAAGGCCCTGGGGCACCACATGCGCTGTGTGAACAAGGAATGGCTGGAGCAGAGTCGGGGTTTGGGGGAGAGGCTGAGGTGAGGTCAGGGAGGAGGGTGAGACCAGATCTCCCTCCTCCCCACCACCAGAGGGTTCTGAGCAGAGCTGGATCAGGGACTGACATGGGGCAGAGTCCGCGAGCCCAGCAGGGAGACGACTGCAGTCGTAGGACAGGAGTGGATGGTGGTGGGGACCGAGGATGGGGGTGGGTGAATGGGGGGCGGGCAGGAGCCCAGTTGGGCGGGGGCCACTCTAAGATGGCGTCACGCCCGTCCACTGCTTTCTGTCTCCTGCCCCCTCTCTTCCAGTCCCTCCTGCTGTTCAGCCGGTCCCTGGACACCAATGGCGACTGCTCCCGCCTAGTGGCCGACGGCTGGCTGGAGCTCCAGCTCGCAGACACCGAGAGTGCTGTCCGGCTCCTGGCGGCTTCCCTGCGGCTCCGGGCCCACTGGGAAAGCTCCCTGGACCGGCAGCTGGCCCGCCAGGCCCGGCAGCGGCTGGAGAACGAAGAGGAGGAGGAGGAGGAAGACCCTGTCGGCCACGAGGAGGTGGCAGCTCTGAGCCGGGAGCTGTTGCAGTTCATGACTTCCAAGGTACCCGCCCCCGGGCACCTGCCCCCTTGGCTGGAGGGGCCGTCAGCCACAGGGATGAAGGCTCCGGAGGGCCCTGGATTCTGGCTCATCGAGATGCCCACATTTGGGGCTTTTCAAACCAGAGAGGTTGATGACAGGCTCAAGGTCACACAGCTGGTAAGGGTGAACCCAAGATTTGACCCCAGGAGCCACCCCATTAAGCCCTGCAGCCCTTATTCAACAGATGCGCAAGAATACCTGCTGCATCTGGGGTGCAGGTTACCCCTTAGTAGCAGTTAAGGGTGTGCATGATATGAGAGAGAAGCTGTGAGGTGCATGGAAGACAGATGGGAAGAATTAGAGCATGCTTAAAACCGAACCCCCACTTCTTTATGTGCGTGCGGGTTGCGAATTACTTTTGATTCTACTACACATGGGTGTGGTGGGACCCAGAGGACTGGAGAAAGGGGAACTGGCTGACATGACAGAGGAGAAGGGGCAAGGTGGCCACACTTGAAGGTCAGACTTGAGGTCTGAATGTGTTCCCACAAGGGATGAGGACAGAAGTGGACTGGGGAAAGCAGGTAAGGGAGTGTTCTAGACAAGCCTTTGGTCATGAATATCTGAAACCGGGGTGTGAGGGGCTTAAGCAATTGACCCCCATAACTGAGAAGTCCAGTGGTGCACTTCAGGCACAGCTGGATCCAGGTGCTCCCATTATGTCTACCTGTCTCCTGTCTGCTGATAGAGTCTGTCTGCTCTATCTCCTGTCTCTCTTTGCTCAGGTTTCCTACAGCGTCCGGCGGCTCACAGGGCTGGAAGTCCAGAACCTCTATGTGGGACCCCAGACCATCACGGCTGCCCCCAGTCTCCCTGGCCTCTTTGGCAGCTCTACCCCGTCCCCCCACCCCACCAAAGGGGGCTACGCAGTCACTGACTTCCTTACCTACAACTGCCTCACGGTGAGCATGGACGTGCACCTTGGCCCCTTGTCCTCCTGCCCCTGAGAGTGGGATTTTAGAGATTCCCCCCGGCACCCTCAACCACATTCCAGCTTAGTCCAGGGATGCAGTTTCAGAAAGGGCCTGCCAGCCTGGAGGACTTCTGGGAAGGTCCCAGGCTGGTGGTGGGGAGCGGGGCAGGGAGCCAAGCCCTGACACAGCCCGACTGTCACAGAGCGATGCGGACCTGTACAGCGACTGTCTCCGCACTTTCTGGACCTGCCCGCACTGCGGCTTGCACATGCCCCTGACGCCCCTGGAGCGCATCGCCCATGAGAACACCTGCCCCGAGGCCCCGCAGGACGGCCCCCCAGGTGAGGCTGGCGCAGGGCCCGGATGCCTGTGTCCGCCCAGCTGTCCGTGCAGTCTGCATCTGGGCGTTCGCGCCCCACTCTGGGGATCCACAACCTCAACCCTCTGCCTGGCTGGTGCCACACACGGGCTTTGTCACTGAGATCCAGAGCCCGGGACGAGGAGGGCCTGGAGCCAGCTCATTCTCGTGTCTCTGTCTGTCTCTCTCTGTCTCTGTCGCCTCCTCTCTCATCTGCCTCTGCGTTTCTGTTTCTCTTTTTCTCTGTTGTCTCCAAGCTGTCCCTGCCTTGGCCACATCCACCCTGTAGTCACCTGGAGAATGCCGCAGTGCGTAGACCTGGGCAGAGCCTGCTGTGGCGCATCCCACGTCACACGCTGGCGCTCACGGGGAGATGGCTGCGGGGCCATGTGGTCCCCCCCAGGGCTCTCTCTGTTTCTCTTTCAGTCTCTATGTCTCCACTTGTGTCTTTGTCTCTCTCACCCGTGGGGACACATTGTAAAGACTTGCCTCTCTGTGTATTAATCAGGGAAGGCTTCCTGAAGGAGGCAGAGCTGGAATTCCCCAGAGGCCAGGAGAGAGCCTGAGCCGCAGAGTTTCCTGGTATTTGGGTGGGGGTGAGAGCACGCAGTGAAGCGTCCCCCTCAACCCCCTTCTCCTCTCCCCTAGGGACTGAGGAAGCTGCCCCCGAGCCCCTCCAGAAGGCATCTGCCCTGCAGAAGCCCTACCACTGTGAGGCCTGCCAGAAGGACTTTCTGTTTACGCCCACGGAAATTCTGCGGCACCGGAGGCAGCACGTGTGAGCCCAGCCTGTCCTGGACCAGGGCCAAGACCAGGACTGCTGCCCTCGCTCCCAGCCTAGGCTCGGACCTCTGACCTGGGCCCAGCCTGTGAATAAACTCTCACTGATGGACTCAGGTCTTTAAGCCTGCCCATCCTTAAAGTGGGCATCCCAGGTGGCGCAGTGGTAAAAAACTTGCCTGCCAATGCAAGAGACGCAGGGGAGGCGGGATGGATCCCTGGGTCAGGAAGATCCCCTGGAGGAGGAGATGGCAACCCACTCCAGTATTTTTGCCTGGAGACACCCCATGGACAGAGGAGCCTGGCGGGCTGTAGTCCATGGGGTTGCATAGACGTGACTGAGCACGTGTGCGCACACATCCAGAAATCGGCAGCCATCTCTGCTGGTCCCCCCGTGGTCTGACTCATCCCTCCTATTGCAGCGGCCACCTGACGCGTCCTGGGGTAAATCCCTGGAGTTGAGGCTGAGCAGGGACCTCAGATTGGAGAAGGCAATGGCAACCCACTCCAGTATTCTTGCCTGGAGAATCCCAGTGACGGAGGAGCCTGGTGGGCTGCTATCCATGGGGTCGCAGAGAGTTGGACATGACTGCTGCGACTTAGCATGCATGCATTGGAGAAGGAAATAGCAACCCACTGCAGTATTCTTGCCTGGAGAATCCCAGGGATAGAGGAGCCTGGTGGGCTGCCATCTATGGGGTCGCACAGAGTCAGACACGACTGAAGCGACTTAGCAGCAGCAGCAGCAGCAGCAGGGACCTCAGGCTGCAGGTCCAGGGTCTGATCGCCCCTGGTGACTGCTCTCCCCGAGTCTATCCTCAAGGCCTCTGCTTTCCCTCAAACTCGGAGACCCCGGATTGGCCCATTCTCATGTACAGCTGGGTGGGGTGGGGTCAGTGTTCTGTGGGCCCACGGGCTGCCTGGTCATGGGGGCCGTTCTGCTGTGCTGTCCGTGGGCAGTTCTCAGCCATCCCCTCGGGACTCCCCGACCACGTCTCCCCCACGGACATGAAAAGGAGAGGGAATGCTGTGAACAATGATGTGATTAAATTCTATGACTCAGGTTGAAATCTGGATGATGGCAGGATGGATGTGGTCAAGACAGAGACCATCATGGGGTAGAGGAAAGACCAAGAGACACAGCAAGAAAGAGAGAGAGAGAGAGACAAACTACCTGAACTCAAGAAGAAATAGATAAACTGCACAATGCTATCTGTGGGGTTGGCCAAAAATTTCATTTGGGTTTTTCATAGCAGCCTACGAAAAAACTCGAATGAACTTTTGGCCAACTTAATGCTAAGGCAATTTAATTCATAGTTAGGGACGCAGAGGACAGGCTTGGATGGGTTCACTGGTGACCTCCAGCAGACAGGGACTGAAGACAAGACACTCAACAACAGCTCATTCACAGTGTGGAAGAGGACGCCTCTGGGCCAGCACTGCCCTGATGCCAAAGCCAGACCCAGAACCGCTTCCTGGGGGTTTAGCAATTCACAATGCCACAGATAAAAAGAACAGTAGTACATCATGGCCAGGCGCATTTCTCTAGTGATACAGAGTCGATTTAACGTTTGAGAGTCAATTAATGTGATTCACCCTATTAAAAACAGAAAGGGCATTTGACAAATTTCAACACCTTTTGGCCTTGGATAAAAGCCCTTAACCTCTCTGCTCCAGCATTTTTTTCCTCTGACGAATGCAGCTAAACTTTTTCTCAGAAGGTTCATTTTGATGCAGAAGTCTTGGACTTAACTCTAATAATTAAATAAATATAAAAATAAACAATTAGAATCATTAATAATATAATAAAAAATAAAAGTGCAAGTAAAAAATGGTAATTGGACTAAATCAAAATTAGAAAACTGCTCTACAAAAGATACTAAGAAAAATAACAAAAAATGCAAAGGCAAGTGTAGACATGGAGAAAATACTATATATATGACAAATGTGACATATATAATTAACTGTATATATTACATAAATATAGAAACTATATTATACCAAAAAATTCAAATCAATAAGACAACTACTTTATAAGTGGCAAATACTGAATATAAACCCCAAAAATAGAAAAACATGGTTAATAAGCCCATGAAAAAATACTTGCCATCATTAGCCATCAGGGATGCAATTAAAACTGCAATAAATATCACAGTAACGCTCATTAGAATGACTAACATAAAAAACCAAATGCTAAGTCAGTATGTGGCACAAGCAGATCTCCCATACATTGCTGGTGGGAGCGTTAATTGGTAAAACGACTGGGAAAAAAATTAGAGAATCTCCTAAAATTGAACCTGGGCACGTCCTCCATGACCTGGCAGTTCCGCTTGTAAACACACACTCCACAGAAACCCACAAGGGTATTGTTGACAATAGCATTATTTGTAACTAGAACCCCACCAAATGCCTATTGACAAAAGAATAGTTAAGTAAATCGTGATCAATTCTTAGAACAGAAGGGCCTAAACCACAGCTCCATGCATCCTAATGGGGGCTGGGGACGGAGCGGGGCAACACCAGCCAGGCTGCTGGAGGGGGCGCTCAAGCTCTGTTTCTTGGTCTGGATGCTGGTGGCACAGGTAGGTTTCATTTTCTGGGAAAACTCACTAAGCCAAAGATCCATGCATTTTTCTGTATATCATGCTTCAAGAGCAAATTTTAAAAGGTTGGTGAATGAATGCCTATCAACTTTGCATTTTGAAAGATCCTGCTACACTGAAGTTGTACAAATTCCCCTCAAAGAAGATGAAAGCACCCATTTCCCCAGCAGCCTCGCCAGCATTTAATCCTGGTCAATCTGGGTCACCTATCAGAATAGACATGTTTCCCTGGGGGAACTAATGAATAGTAAGAGCTTCTGGAACTGTGAAGGAAGGGCCTTAACACTGTTGAGGAGCTGTGACCCAATTCTGATAGATGCTCTTACGGCCGTCTCTGGGCATTTAGAGTTTCCTCCCTTCTTTCACATATTTTAAAATCTTTTGAAATTTATTTTATGTTTATTTTTGGTTGCACTGGGTCTTCGTTTCTGTGCTCAGTCTTTCTCTAATAGGAGCGGGGGCTGCTCTTCATTGCAGTGTGCTGGCTTCTCGTTGCCACGGCTTCTCTTATTGCAGAGAACAGACTTGAGCTCAGGCTCAGTAGTTGTGACCCACAGGTTTAGTTTCTCCATGGCATGTGGAATCTTCCCGGACCAGGGATCAACACACATCCCCTGCATTGGCAGGCAGATTCTTACCCACCGTGCCACCAGGGAAATCCCTATTTCTCTAGTTTTAATACCTTGAGTTGGGAAGTCATTTTCAGGGGCCATAACAGAAAAAGGAATGGAGACACTAAAGGAATGGAAACGTTTTGAGGGGGTAAAGTCATCATAAACAAAGCCAGAAGACAAGCAGCAGACTGGGAGAGGTGTTTGTAACATCTATAATGAATTGAAGCTTAAGGTCTAGAATATATAAAGAGCTGCTCCAAGCCAATAAGAAAATGACAAAGAGCCTAGGAAGGACAGAGTCAAAAGATTTGAGTCCACACAGAAGAGGAAATAGAAATGGCCCAGAATAATGTACAAAGATGCTAAGATTCACTTGCAATCGGGAGAAACAAGAATAGTTAATTCAGTACAGCCTGTTTGGAAGGACCTTCAGGAGAATCTATCAAATGACCTGCAGAAATGCCCCTTCCCTTGGACCAGTGATTCCACCTCCAGGAAGTTATCCTATAGACACACACACATGTCTGGAAATAACATATGTTCAAGGATATTCATGCCAGCTTTATTTGTAGGAGCAAAAGATGGGAAACAGCTTAAATGTCTCTCCATATGAAACTGCTTAAATATTAATAAAACCCACCCAATATAATGGACCACTATGCAGACATGCCAAACAAAAGCAGGCTTTGTACTGACACAAAAAATATCTCCAAGTTATACTAAATGAAAGCGAGCAAGTTACAGAACCATGTGTCAAATGATCCCAATTTTTGAAAAATGAAAACATTTTGTTTGCAAGCATGCATTCTTAGTTGTGTCCAACTGTTTGCAACCCCATGGCCTGCCAGCTCTGCTGTTCATGGGATTCTCCAAACAAGAATACTGGCGCAGGTTGCAATTTCTTCCTCCAGGGGATCGTCTCAACCCAGGCATCAAACCCACATCTATTATGTCTCCTACACTGGTAGGCGGATTCTTTACCCCAGCCACCCACCCACCCGGGAAGCCCTTTGTTTGCATACGCTCACATAACTGAATAGAATTACACACCAGCTGTAACAGATTCACAGCAAACTTAACTAATGGTCATCTCTGCAGAGGGGAGGGAGGGAGAGGAGGGGAGGGGAGGCAGGAAAGAGTGATTTTTCTTTTTAAATGTATTGAGGTCCAGTTTACATACAATAAAATGTCAGTTCATTTTGGCAAACACACCTGTGTAACCACCATCCCAATCAACACAGAACATTTTCAACACTCCAGAAAGTTCCATGGTTCCTGCTTCTTATGGTCAGCGTCTTACGCCAGCCTCAGCCGCAGGCTGATCTTTTCTCTGTCACCATTTATTAGATTTCTCTTTTCTAGAATTTCACATAAATGGAATCATACAGCATGTCCTTTTTGTGGTATTCCATTGTCTGAATATTCCACAGACTCTTCATTCTCTAAATGTTTGGGTTATTTCCAGTGGGGAGGTGCTATTTATGAAATAAAGTTGCTATGAATGTTTAAATGTAAGGTTTCATGTGGTCCTGTTTTCATTTCTCTTGGGTTAACACTTAATGGCCAGAATTGCTGCCCTAGGTAATTGCCACACTTAAGGTGAGTGTGTATTTACTTTTAAAAGAAACTGCTAAGCAGTTTTCAAAGTGGTTCATCCATTTACCTTCCCTCTCACAGTATGAGTGTTCCAGTAGATCCAATTTGTGGTTTTTAATTTTCATTTCTCTGTTCCCTGATGACAAATGATGACGTGGGGCATCTTTTCATGTGCTTATTGGATATTTGGGTCATCTCTTTTGTGGAGCACCCATTTACGTGTTAGATCTATTTTCTGTTGGGTTGTCTTTTTCCCCACTCGTTTGTAGAGGTTCTTTAGATAGTCTGGATACAAATGT